GCAGGCCACTGAGGTGGTTTTGGTTTTTTGTATTTTTTTTTTTTAATCCCCCAAGCTTGTTTTTTTCCAGCTGCTTACAGTTTGTTAGTGCTGACACAAAGACTTGTATTGACTAATTTATTGTACCGTTTGAGCACATCTTTCACCAAGAAAACCTGAGGCCGAGTCGTGGTTTGCTGACCTTTAAATGTGCTGCTCAGCCCAGGGGTGCACAGCCAGCCCTGAGCCTCTGTTAGCCTGGATCTGCCCGTGCCAGTGCGGCTCTGCTCAAGTCACTGGGTCCAAACTGGTGCTGAGGTGGGCACTTCCAGCTGCCCTTGTTCTCCCAGGTCAGCTGTGGGAGACCTGACCTGGCCTTCTTTGGGAGCAGGTGGAGGCCGTGTGCGGTGTGTGAAGGGCTGCACAGGACAATCAGCAGCTGGCTAAATTAGTTTGGGACCTCCCTGCAGAGGAGGGTCAAGTTAAGGTGGGCACCAGCTAAGTAGCTCAGATTTAAATAGTCTCCAGATTAGAATATTGCATTTTTATGCGGATGATAGAAAGCTGTAACTAAAATAAAGGTTAAATTCTCAAGAAATATCCAATAAGAACAAATCGTTTGTGTTTGAAATGTGCCAGCTGAGGGAGGTCAGAAGTCATGTATTGCAATCCCTAACCCTTCCCTGCTTAGAGTAGTTCACTTTGCTTGTATTTTTACAACAGAATACCAAAACCTGCTTAGTTATTTCACAGTAATAACATACTTTTTGGTACTGAAGACACTGATTAAATTGAACTTCTAAATTTAGGCTACTGAAATAACTACATTAGTACAGCCCCTATTTAAAAATGATTCTGCTGTTTTGCTTTGATCTGCAGAGGCTGTAAAAAAGAAAGACCATATTCTGAAGTGTAATTTGGCTGGGTCTTCTCTCCATAGTTAAAATAATATAGAGGTGCTGGCTCCTGGAAGTGCAGCAGAATCAGAGATGAGAAATTTTACTTTGGACTACGTTTGATTGGTGTTTGTCTTCCTGCCAGACAGAGTTAATTTTTCTGTCCGCCTCTGAAAATCACTTACAACTTTATGAATCAGTGCTCTGTGAGCGTTACTACCTATGTTCTTTCTTAGTTTTCGTACCTGTGTGCTGTGTTTCACTGTTCCAAAATCATTACTACCCATATTCTTTATTATTATTACAACATGCGTGCTCAGCTCTCTTAGTTTATTTGTAACTCCTCCAAAGAATGCAAGACAAGGCTAACTATATAATGTGATGACATGCGAAGTTTTCCTGCCTGATAATCCACTCCTTAGAATTTTCCATTCTGTGAGCAGATCCTTTTCCATCCACTGCCTGTGCCTCTTCATTTGTAAGGGAACAATAGCGCTCCTTAGGGTTAATTTCTGAGGGATCCCCGTCCTTGCCTATGAAGTTCTTTTTCTGGTTACTTACTGTTTTGCGAAGTTTGGACAGCTTTCTACAAACTTGGTTTACTGTACCACATGAAGCCATCATTTGAAAGTCTACAGTGTGTGTGTGTGTGTATTACAGTATTATTTGTATGAATCTGAAAATAATTGTAGTTATGCTTCTTCAGAGATGACATTTTCTTTCAGTTATAACTGAGTTGTTTATTACAAACATATCAAGTATAATTTTGAGATGGAAAGGCTTCCACATATGATAGTGTTTTGGGAGAGACGTTTAAAGTACATTTCTATAATTTGCCTCTTGAACAAGTTTTGAAAATGCAATTAAAAACATCATAATTTTTAAATATATGTGCTTGGCCTCTAGGAAGTGTGCAGTGTTGGAGAGGCGTGAAGAGTTCCTTTACAATTGCTGTGATATGGACTTTGTTCGGTTGATTTATGACAGGAAGATTTTTTTTTGTATTTCAGAACAATAGAAGAGTAGTAACTGTTAGTCAGACGTGGTTATAGTACCAGTTGGAAGGGGCTGAGGTTGGTAAATTCAGGTCAGACTTTAACACCATTCTATGATCCGTGCTTGGAAGAGCAAGAACCTGGGGGTAGGTGGTGTCCTCTATGAACAGCACTCCCTGTCTTAGGCACTACATGTGGCCACCCCACTGGTGCTAGGTTCCTCAGAAAAAAAAAGAGGCTGAAAACAAAGCTTAAACATGCAAATGAAATTAGTTACTGCTAAAGCTTGGACTTATTTCTAGATCCACAGGAAAAATCTGACAAAGGTCTGCCAATGGTTTGCTGTTTCTCCAGATAGTTTCTTATAAGGCTGTGCCTTAAGGGAGAAATAGTCCCAAACTACCAATAGAAACTTAAAATGTGATACAATATTATTGTGAACTACTTAGTGCTAACACTGTCAGCTGTCTTCAGTGCAATTAGTTTCCTGGATATTTAGGCTGCTGCTTTTTTATTACATCTCTGCTGCCTTTTCCATTTGTGTGTGATACTGTAGGAGTCAGATTTGATTACAGCTGCACATTAAATCAGTGTAAGCACTGGGGAGAGCAGCTCTCGAGGTAAACTGAGCCTTCCTGGCATTGCCTTTTGCTGGTTCGCATTGCTTTTAGAAAGAAGCTTCTGGCCTGGTAGTGTGACTCACAGTCAACCAGCAGTGACCGACTTCTATAAAGCTTGCTGTTGTGTGAACTGTGTGCACATTTTCCATACATCCAATGAGCTTTGTGAGCTTTGTCTTTTTCTCACTGAATTTCCAATGGGAGCTTGGTTTTCTCCTGCCATCTCATTTCTGTTTTCTGTAGCTTATTTGATTTTCTGATGCTAAACCACATTCTGCATAGCTTCATGTCATTCTGTGTGTTTATTTTTATACTACACCTTCTTTGTCCATGCTGCCAGTCCCTTTTTCCAAGTGCAATATCACAAATAGCTGATGAGTACACTGAAGGAAATTATGCATTTCTGCTGGACTTCTGTTTTCTCAAATAACCTGACCTTCAACATATTTTCTGTCATGTGTTTTATAACAATTTCCAAAAATCAGTTGGTTCCTTCATTTTCTCAGTGCTTCCAGATCAGTGCTTCCAGATCAGTGCTTCCATTTTGCAAATATAAAACCGACAAGTCTTATACAAACTAAAAGAGCTTGAAGATCATTTTGTTTATGCTTTTGAAAGGTTGTTATGTTCAGGAGAATTGCTGAGATTGTGTGCTTTCAGACATATTTTCCTTTGCTATCCTGTATTTAAAAGCATTCTTTTCATTAAAGCCTACGAATATTCTTTAGTACTGTTAGCAGTGATAGAGCTGAATCAGTGGTAGCAATGGCTGGGGACTTAATAAAATACACACGTAAAGCCTGGAAGTCCCGTGCTGTCTGCAGTAGGCAAATGGGTCCGGTTTTAGTGCACACTAATTTATTTTGAGATAAAAATCCAGTTGGGCCTTGTTTTTTTATGTCAGTTAGTCGAGCTGATATGAGGCCGACCTGCAGGTTTGACTCCACTTGCTAATGTACATTATGCATTAAATTGTGTCTTTGTTAGTTTTTACTGTTTTTTGTTGTTGTTGTTGTTGTTTGTTTGTTTGTTTCTTTTCACAATTGATGCACTGAATTTTGTGGGAAAACATACTCTGAGACTAGTTTAATGAATACTTGCAGCCAACCCAGCTTAAATAAAAACCTTGAATTCCCTTGTTTCCATTTGTTGCTCCCACTCCTATGCCTGGTATTAGTACAAGTGCCTGACTATCAACACGAGGAAGCCGTTCTGCACCTTTGTACAATCACCCGGGTCTTTTGCTGGTATAGAAGTGTGCACACACAAAAGTTGTCCATCTATCAGTTGCTGATGTACCATTTCAAAATACCTGAGTGCGGCCAAAGTATATGGAGTACCCACATCTTCTTTCTTACCCTGTATTATTATGCATTATTTTATTCTGTGAAACACTTTATAAAAAGTTGCACGTATTCTGATGAATATGACGTCGTCCCATAAAATACATGAAAGCAGCGCAGCTAAATCTTATTGCTTGGAATTATAATGTTAGAAAATGGGAAGAGTACACCAAATTGCTCTTTTGTTAGCCACGTCTTCCTTGACAGTATACCTGGTAATTTATCAGTGTAAAATATATTAATTTTTGTATTTCTAGTATCAGTATTGTACAAACAAAAATTTAAGTATAAAAATGCAAGAGGGCTGAACTCTGTGAGAATTCCCTGCCAGGCTGCAAGGAGTAGTTTTGGGATTAAAGAACAGATTTATAGCTGCATTGCGTCTAGACAGGATTTAATTCTGCTTATGGGTGCATCCACAGAACCCAACTACTGTTCAAATCAGCTGGAAAAAAAACAGATTTTGATTTCAACTGCTGCAAATTGAAATGTCACGAGTTTTCAGTAGCATCCTGAAATAGTCTCTAAGTGTGGGGAGAGAATATCTATTTAGATGTCAGTTAAGCATGGTGACTAACAGATCGAAAGGGACTGTTAAGACATGCAGCTTGTCAGGCTGCTCAGCTTGGTCTGCAGAACAAACATCACTGAATACTTTCTGTATCAGGCTGAGCTTCTATTTGAGTAACATCGCATGTCCGTGTTTGATGTAAAACACTGTTAAAGGAGGGAGAATCCACTGCATCCCTGTTTAATGTAGTTCAGGTGGTTAACTATCCTCATGACCAGTAGTTGCACTGTAGGAGACTAATTTTAGCATCCTTAGCTTTCAATGACTGCATCTCAGTTGGAATAATTGTTGGTTGTTTTTTTTTTTTTCTAGTTTTAGAAATGTCTGACATCTGAAATCTTTTCGGTGTGCAGACAGTCACAAAACCCCATGAAATTACCTTCTAATTTTTGAGGGCAGTGATGCTTTAATTAATAGTTCAGAGATGAGTAAGGTGACATCATTTGTGTATGCTTTTCTGTAATGCCTGGATTAAGGGATGGAATTCAATGTGAGGGATCTATTTTGGAAGTTGGAATTTGAATGGATTGTTTTCAGTTACCTAATGCTCATGAGAAGTATAGTAACTTTTTAATGCTTCTTGTATTTTCCTGCAGGGCAGCAAAGGGCACTACAGATACCACTGGCAGAGCCACAATGTCAAGCACAGCGGAGTGGATGATATGGTTCTTCTTTCCAAAATCTCAGAGGATTCCATAGTGGAGAACCTTAAGAAGCGATATATGGATGACTATATTTTTGTATCCTTTATACTACTACTTTTATTCGGGTCCTGTGGACTTACTGAGGCAATGCAAGACTAGTAACATATATGTATTCTGTTTAAGTAGATCAGTCAAAGATCCTGAGCATTTTATATGATAGTGCACCTGTGAGTACAGAAAATGAAATTTTGAAATTTGAAATTAAGATCTGAAAAACATTTTTATGATATTCTTTTTGACATATGGTAGTGTTCTTGCCATTGTTGAAGATAGGCCTGTAGCTCCATGTATTTATATATCCATGTGACCTCTGAAGCTAGGTACAATTATGCTACTTCAATGATTAAGAATTAATAGGTTTAAGCATTATATATGTTTTGAGATTATGTTGTTGTTTTTACCTATCAAAATCTAACATTCTTTTGTGACATAGTCCTGTTTACAACTTGTTCTAGAATTCTTAGTACTGTGGATCGTGGACTGATGGAAACAGATAACCATATGAACATCTGCAAATCTAAAATGTTTGCACTTTGATTCTTTTTTTTTTTAAACTGTGATTAATGAAAACATGAAAGATTTAAGTACCTGAACATATAACCCAGCAAGAAAAACAGATTTTAGCACCAAAAATTTGCCTTTTTTTTTTTTGAAATTTCATATGAAAAGACTTCTAGAGACAAAACACTAGACACTGTTTCATTTTTAGCTTTCACAATATAACATGAGCTGTAGTGAGAAATTTTGTAAACTCTAGTCTGTATGACACTGGTCCTTCTTCTGCTTTAGCCAAGTTTTCATACTTCCTAGTAGTATCTTGTGAACAGTTTCCTTGAAGTATTTAACTTTTTATTTCCCTTTCTGCTAAAAAAAAAAATGAATAAATATATAACGCCTCCTGGCTAACTATATATTCAGATAGTAAGAGCTAAGTGGCAGCTTGCTTTAGCAAGGACTGATAGAGGATAAGTAATGTGGCAGCTATGCTGACATTTCCATCCCAAACTGTGTAAGTTTTTAATAGGTGTGCATTCATGGTTTTGGATCCTCTGTTCAATAAATTACCTCACCAGTAATGATTTTGCATTACAGAAATGTGACAAATTTGTCAAACAGATAGTATTGGGGCAACCTATAGTTCTCGTCCTATTAGTAAAATGAACACTTCTGTCCCTGTGGAACCCTGCATCTTCCATGCATTACATTCACATTTTTCAGTGCTCAGTGCTGAAGAAACCATTTGATGCTTTTTTTCTTACAAAAAAAAGTGAAATTAGCATAGTCTTACTGAAACAGGATTAACTGTGTTTTCCAAGGGAAATGGTGGTCATGCTGAGGTATGAGTCTTCTTTTAAAAGCATTATAATTCTTCTGTGTGGGGAAGAAGAATCCTTTTGCAGTCCTGTGTAGGATTTTTGTTCTAGAGATCATCTCCTGAATCTTTCAATTGTTCTTATGTCTCCTCATGAATGAATATTTCTCAGTGCCACTCTGCACAGTGATAACTATTCTTCCCAGAAAATGCTTGCATTGTTTACCAACAGAAAACTATCGCTTCAGATGTTTATACTGATGCAATAATTGCTTGTTTTGACCCGGATGTTGTTAATCTTCTTTGAATTAAATTTAAAAATATATAAAGAAAACATTGCAAATTAACAATACAGAGGTGATGTTCACTGATTTATAGTTCTTCCCCAACTAATGTGATACTGTCTTGTGCTCTGGCACCAAGACAATAGGTTATTTTGTAGGGTAACACAGCAGGATAAATTTCTAATTTTCCTACATCTGTATGGAAAGCTTAAATAGTAAGTTTGTCCATGAACAATTCCAGATTGTTCAGTGAAACCAGCAGTACAGTATTCTGGACTTGTTATTATTACACTGTCAACTCCTAACTCATGAACCAGTCTTGCCTGTAAAGCAGTATCAGATGCTTCATTTATGTATATAACAACTCAAATATGAAAGGTTGCTGAAGTATTTTCTAAATGTAGGTACGTGTACAGCTCAGTGCAGAACTGTGAAACACTAATATTCAAAAGGCTGCAAAAAATCTTTCTGGGCATAATAATAGCTTGTCACTGACTGTCATCTTACAGGGCAGCCTGCAGAATAAGACTTCTAGGAACTGTCTTCTTATACAGCCTGCAGGATAAGACTTGTATGGACTGTTAACAGTTACGTTCATAAAGTAACACCATGTAACTGAATTACCTAATTCCCTTAGCTCCCCAACTTGTCCATGCAGCTGAGTAATTGTCCAGTTCAGCTCAGTCCAGGCTGTTTCCATCTGTCTGCATGCTCAGCACAATCTCTGTGAGATCAGAATGTGTCAGTACAGCTCATTCTGCAAAGGTCAAAACAATCTTTTCAATACTAGCAACACGATCTCCTCAGTTGCAAAGGAGCAAAGCAGTCCAAATATACCATTTCCTTTCTGTATTTTTACTCAAAGAGTATTGGATTTGGGCCTGTAATACATGTTCCTGTACTTAGCTTGTCATAAAACACATATTTTGATAATATGAAAGTATCCTCCTGAATGATATTTTTATATTCTTGTAAGCCTTCTAATTTTATTTTTATTAATAATTGTTTTAAGCTGTTTTTCTTTTTTTTTTTTTGTATTATTTGAATCTGTGTATTACTGTGTAATATATGGAAAGGTTATTTGGCAGTCACTAGAGGTAAGATAATACTTTTTAAACTGTAGTTACCTTAACTGCTTTTAAATACAGACATACATTGGCTCTGTGTTAATCTCTGTGAATCCTTTCAAACAAATGCCATATTTTGGGGAAAAGGAAATTGAGATGTACCAAGGAGCCGTAAGTAAAGCAGTCTCTAATGAACTAGAGTATTGGCAGGCATGTAAATACTATTCTACATGGTAAAACTCTTGAAAGCATTTGTTTCGGGGTTTTGGTAGTTCGCTGTATTAGAGAAATAGGCTGGGAGAAATCGGCTGTTATCCATCACCATATACTGACTCTTCAAATTGAATTCCCCAGAATATAGAATTAGTATCTCAAGAAAATACTTGCATTGATTAACTCTAGTCCATACCAGGCTTTGCCCCTTGACAGGCCTTTCCTCTTGCAAAGGCAGTTTTTAAGCTATTGCGTGCTTAAAGTGTGGCGCATAATACAATCTGGCCCGAGTAGACTTGGAGAATATGGGAAGAGATCCCTGACTGGAAAAGAACAATAAGAAAATCGAGATGCCAAAATTGGATACCTGTTGTGAAAATACTGCTTGAAGAGTGAGCAGCACAAGGGCATGAGGGAGTTAAAATGCAGTTTCCTGCTCTGCTCACATGCCCACAGCCAGAAGCCTAGGGAAACCGTTCGGTTTGAGTGGGTGCAGTGGATGAAAATGAGGCTGTTACAGCACCAGGCTCTGTGTAGTGGCTTAGGTAGTTTATTGTTAGCATGTGACCACTGGTGGGTTAGGCTTAAATTATATGAGTTTCTCTTGGACAAGTAATGTATTTCAAGCACGGCCTATTTTTAGATCAGACTGTTTACAATACTTCAGGAGAAAATTATAGATGAGAGAAAGATCAGTAACAGAAGCAGAGGCTTTGGTTTGTTTTTATTAAACAAGCAAAAAAAATCCCCAGAATCTTCAGTGTAAAGTGGGATAGAGAATTGTTTTCTTTTTTTTTCAGGAAAATAGTTCTTCCAATTTAAATAAAAATTTATATTGCTTTTGCTGTATTGCCTAATGCTGTGTTGAAAAAACTACGCTCTGTTTCCCTTTCTAGGCACAATATGAAAACCCACCACATATTTATGCTCTTGCAGACAGCATGTACAGAAACATGATTATTGACAGAGAAAATCAGTGCGTCATTATTAGGTAAGAAAAAGATCTGCAAAAAAAAGTTGTTATTTTTTGTTTTAACTTCAAGAAATGGAAAAGTTTATTTTTTATTATACTAATAAAAACCTTCTGTGTCCATGACCACTGAATATTTTGGGGTTTTCTAGGATAGCTAAGTATTTTCTGACCCTCCCTTTTGTTTTCCAGTAGAATCCTGGTAGCTTAACAAAAAATCGCTTTCTCTCTGCTTCATGCCCAATATCAAATCTGCAATAGCTTGAATGACTACATGAGGTACAGATTAACAGCTATAGCATCCACGGGCAGTGCAAAATCCAAGGCTCACATCGACTACATTAACATACTCTGGGTTTAATTCTATTTCTTTTTTTTTTTTTCCCATAAAAATAAATGCACTTTTGTTCATTTTATAATCTTCCTTGTATTCAGTCAGAGACAAAAGGAGAAGAGATACAAGCAAATTAATTTTGTCCTCACTATTATTCCATTTTAATTATTAGGCTGAGGCACTTTGAATTTATTATTGAGTTTGTTTAATAATAGGCATTACTTAAGTCACAGGGACAGTGAATTTTGGGTACAGAGGTATGCTTTGGTCTCATCTGTGAGTTTATACGTGGTTTATAATAAAAGAAAATGTGCAGAGAGCAAGAACTGCAGGATATTTTATCTCGTACACTATCCCTCTTAAATATTTTCCTTCTTGAATGGAAAAGTTAAGAGGTTCACTGTAGTTCACCTGGAGCTGCAGTTTGCCTATGGCATTGTTGTCCAAATACGTTTATATATTTTGCAAATAATTAAATTATATATATTGGGAGTGTGTGTTGAGTAATTTCTTACTGATTGGGTGCATAGTCAAAAAAAAGTTTGGAAATCACTGGCCTGTGAGAATGTATCAGTCAAGAAGCAGGGAAAAGAAAGAGAAGGAAAAAAAATCTCTTAAGTTAAACAGCCATTATTTTATTAATAACAGTCATTCTTAAGCTTCCTATAATTTCTCTTCAGAACACTCAGAGAGACATCACCATGAATTTAACTGCTGCTGAATTTAACAGAAGAGATTTCAAGACTTGAGTGTTTTTCTTTGTCCAGGGGCCCTCTCTGGTCCTGGGGTGGCTGTGTGCCTTGCAGTGTCACAGCCCCAAGGGGCAGGATGTCAGTGATCAGATCTGATGCCATGTAACTTACTGCTGGCTGGAACCTGCCGGGAAACGGTGAAGGGTCACTGATGTTAAGCCTCAATGCCCTTTCACCAGCCACTTGCTAATTTCAGTTTCACAGCAGTAATAAAAAAGACACGGGCTTAGTGAGTGGATCTTGCATGTGGAGGTGCTCCATGTGCGAGTTTTCCTGTACCTTACTGAGTGATTCATTGTGAAAACAAGTATAATATTTACATATCTCACATATGAGCTATATAAAATGTACATATCTCACCAATGAGCTGCCTAGAGAGCTTGTGAGGAATAATTGTTTGTAAGTTATATTCATCGTGTTATTTGGATCTATGCCTGGGGGTCATCTAGGCAGAGCATTTCTGGGTGACAGGTTGGTTACACTGGAAAAACCAACAGGTGTCCCTCTTAGTATTAGTAAAAAGTGCATGTAGATATGCAGAAACTGAGGGTTTTACATTTAGGAAGGTCAGCCAGGCATTAAGAGTTTGTGACACTGAGCTGTACTACAAGGGCCTCCCTATTTCTAGGCTGCTGTTACATGGCGCCATGTAACTTAAAAAGCCCAAAGCTCATACTCTTGCTTTTCATATTTCTAAACTGATCCCTGAGCTGTCATCTTTTGGGGAAAATTGATGCCTGTTGCCAGGATGAAGTTAGTAGTACCATTTGGTCAAATTCAGACCTGTTAGGAATGAGTAAAATTGAGATTTATTTTGATTTTTGTACAAAATAACATCCCAGACCCTCAATATTTCATATTAAGCTAAATTTGTAGTGCAAATTCTTAAACTGCAGTGGACTGTTAGTAGAAAGCACAGTTTTTGATGTGTTGCTAATGCCTCAAAGTGTAACGTAAGTCACATTGCCAGAGAGTGGAGTCGCAGGCCTTTTTCAATTTACAGGTTAAATTCTTGAGAACATTCTTGTGCTTAAATGATGGATGGTGCATTCTTCAGAGTGTGTGCATTGTGTCTGGGCAGAGTGAATTTTTTCTCAATATATGCACAGACTATTCAAAATATGCTGGAGTTAATTAAAATCTACTGCAAAACTGAAACAAGAAAAATCATGTTTTCCAGGGATATTTCAAAGAGTTCCTCTTACTCAACGTTTTTTATTTGTCCTATGATTTTTCTTATTACAGACACTGGAAAGACTGTAGACTAGACTTACAGGTAGTTTTCATGGTAGCATTTGTTTTTTGGGACACGATTAATTTCTGTGAAATTGGTAACTGGGCCTTTCATAAAATTGATTTTGTTTAGTGTGGTATTTTAATTCTTTTGACCACGGTTCATTTAAATTGTTTAGCTATATCCCATATTCTGCGATTAGAAAGACATCAAAATTTCTAATGACTAGCTTGGCTTAAAAGGGAAGTTTTGTGAAATCTGGCATTCTGTTGCTTCCATTTTACCTTATTTCATGGACCAGAAAGCACTGAAATTGCTGGCAGACTAGAAGTTCCCAACATCCTGCAGCTCCTGAGTTAAGCAGATGCTTTAGCTAGCTACGTGTCTACTACCACAGCATCAGTTTCACCTAATTGCTGCCAAGGATTTTACCATTACTGTCCCCAAACTGCTGATTGTCAGAAAACTGAGATACGGTTCCAGTTGTTTGTCTTCAGCTCCACAGAAGCCTGTGGAATGTAAGCAGCTTCATATGAACCTTTGCATTTCAGTGAACCATAACTTTTTCCATAAAAATTGATCCTGTGGGAAATGAATGATGATGGCAATGCAATGAGGTGCTGATTTGCTTCTCTTCTTTGCAACCAGTCTAAAGTTGGATTGGCTTCACTGAAAATCCCTGATGGAACAAAAGAAACAGAGAAAGCTAGTACAGAAACAAGTCCACTGTTTTTCTTTTTTTCCCTCTCCTGAAGATATCAGTCGACATTTTCAAAGAAAGGTTTGCAAAGAGGGAAGGGACAAAATCATGCGTAGAGTGGGCTGGTTCTCAATCATGTCTGGCCTATGGTGCACATGGAGACAAAACAATGATGGGGACGGGGTTGCTGCACAGCTCTGTCTTTCCACAGCATGTGGTTTGGGCACCTGTGGCATCTACCTCCAGACCTGGGAGGGGTCATGCATTCAAACTGTGGGCACCAGAGGTAGGTTTCCAGGCAGGTGCAGGAAGGTCCCAGCAGCATCTTCATGTGGTCGGGACCCTATCTGTACGTGGGGACCACTCAACCTTTTCACAGGACATTTTGTTCCAGGATTTTAACTAATGCGTTTGGACACTGGTGGGAGAAGTTCCTCCTCTTCAAAAAGCAACTGAATTAACTAGGAAGGCAGATCCAAAAGAACACAGAGTTCTCTGAAAGGCTGCGTTGATACTAACCAAAAATATTTTTTTTACATGATAATACTAAAGAAAAAAAGAAAATCCTCACTGACCAACCATTCCAGGGCCGGGAAAGACTATTTCATTAGTGGAATAATTGCAGTATATATGTGTATGCTTTAAGAAAATTATATGTACACGTCTAATTATAGCTGAGGAGCCATGGGTTATTTTGAATGGCTGTTAACAGTGTAAACAATGGAGTTATTCCTGGGCTGGATTCTGGCTGGGCTGAATGCAGGTGCAGAGTGTGTGCTATGGTGGGAGGAGGGAGCAGCACCTGCAAGCTTCTTCCCTAGTTTAGTATGCACCAGGCAGAATTACAAAGGAAGATTGCTCATACAAGTAATGGAGTTATACTGGAGTTGGGTTTCTTACTGAGTTTATGTTGCACTGACACGTGATGCTTAATTGAAGCCTCTACTGAACCAAACGGATAAATCTGTGTCTGCTACAGCAGACTGTTCATATTTCTTCCTCACTAGAAATGGCAGCCCTTCCAAATGAGCAACGAGTTGTCTAATCAAGATTTTAATTAAGAAGGATTGTCTGTTGTGGCTTTTAATTCCTTCTGGACTATCACTGTCCTTTAGTTAAGAGAGTGGAGGTTATGATAAGTATTTTTCTATTGTGTAGCTATAAATATTTCCTCAGATTATTCTGAAGGTTTTACCTATCTGTAAAATTTAGGACTTTATTTTCCTTTTCATTCTGTGATTTCTGCCAGGAGATATAGCAAATAACTATCTGTCTGTCTTAAGCCTACCAAGTTAAAAATTTAATACAAAATTTCTAGTCAGCTTTTGTGCCTCAAACTTCCAGAAGACTCAAATGTCTGATAGTTCTAAAACGTCTACACAGAATCTAACTGGAAATAAGGCTTAACTTTCATGAGGAAGTGGTAGAAATGCAAGTCTAATGTAGTAAGAAAAGTTAGGTAACAGCTCTCTGTTTCAGAGGGGAAAATAAATCACTGCTGTTATGCTGCTGAGGTCTCTGAACATCACTGGAAAAAGTAAATTTTGTATTTCAGCAAACTAGAAAGCTTATTCAAATATGACAGAATATTTTACATATGTGGTGTTCTTTGCTGGTAGAGCCAAGTGTTCTTTATAAAAATTTATTATTAGAATTTCCACCTTGTCTTGATTATGTAGATAACTAGTATTGTTTTATAGCCAGGGCGACAATATGAAATGTCACTCAGCAAATTAATTTTAGAGAGAAGAATGAAGCTCTGTATTGGATCTTGCTTCTATACTCTAATCACTGGATTATATTTCCTCTGGGAAGGAAGGAAGGAGCTAAAAACTTCCCCTGTGTTATTCTGATTTCAGCTAAGTGTTAATTGACTTTGCTGAACGTAATGTAACTTTTCTGAAATTGCAAATAGTGCTAGAAAAACAATACAATGCCTTTCAGTGTGTTCTTTTTTGTTTAGTGATACATGTAGAGGCTATATAATGATTTATTTTTAGGAAGAAAGGTTTCTAAGAAAATTGTACCATAATACACATCTTAGTTTAAGCCATTCTCGTTACTTTTTCAACCTTTAAAAACCACTGTACTTCCAACATACTTAAAACTAGCAAGCTAAAAAATGATTGTTAACTCGTCTTAAATAGTAGCTACAGAGCACTAAAATGTATGTGACAAAGCTTCTGCATGAGAATCATTTGCCAGGAATGCCACAATTCCCCTATGGCAGCAGAGTACCAGTGCTTTACTGGGGGTAAGACACCATCTCATCAGATAAAATTACTTCAGTTCATAAAGAATGTATCATGCTGTTCAACTGTATTTAATTGGAGCTATTTACTGGTCTCTGATCAATAAACTTATAAAACTGAGGAAAAGTGTAAGCATACATAAATCTACAGCAAACTCTGAAAGGCAGTCTTTTGGCCAAATTCATTTAATATAAAGGATAACTTATTCTGGAACAGAGACGTAACAATAAAATGGAATTATATTCCTCCATATTGATGTCCAGGACAGACACTATGGAATGGGTAATGTAAACCATACTTAATTTGAACAACGAAAAGGATAATGTATACATCAAATAAAAACTTAAGTAAATGTATTACATTTCTACTGCTTGTTAAATAACATCTGATCTTATTTATTCAGTGTTTGACCCCAGATCCTTGTCTGTATTCAGTTGAAAAATGTATATATAAATTCAAGAATATGTTTTGGGGTAGATTGGCTCCTCTGTCCTGTTCTGCAATAAGATAAGCAAATTTCTGTGAGCAAATTTTGGTTTGAAGAAATACTTTTTTCTAAAACATCTTTAAATACTGCTGATACAGACTTCCAAATATGGTTTGCTATCTAACAAACTCAGTCTGTTTCTGTGAATGTCATAGATACCAATAATACAGGCTTTCTTCTCCTTGATATTTAGGAAAAGATGACTTAATAACAGAAGTCATGATCCATACTTGATCAAGAAGTATTTTTTCACCTTTTTAAGTATCCTGTTTGATCTGTAAAACTGCAGTCAGGAGAAGACAAACACATGAATTTATTTCTGACTAAAAACAAAACAAAACAAAACCTCCTTTCAGTATTTCTGTACCTTTTGGAAGCTTTGGGAAGCCTTTTTAGAATTAAGCCTCTGTAAATGTCTCCATTAGTCACGCTGATAAGGAGCTAAGAGTTGACATTCTCAGCAAGTCCTCTTCCTGTGCAGGACATGCTGATGTTTCTCTCGCAAACATAGCTAAAATTTGTGCAGGAAAAGATGTGCAGTTGATCCACATCCAGGAACAAGTAGGCGCAGGATAGAAGAGTCAACATTCATAGAAATTACTCAGGAGCCTAAAGATGGTACAGGTTTTCACACAAGAAAAAAAAAACAACAACAAACATTTCAGATATCTTTATGACATTGAACAGACGTCCTTATGCTGTTTTTTGTATTCCTATACAAGTCACAGAATCACAGAATCACAGAATCACAGAATTTCTAGGTTGGAAGAGACCTCAAGATCATCGAGTCCAACCTCTGACCTAACACTAACAGTCCCCACTAAACCATATCCCTAAGCTCTACATCTAAATGTCTTTTAAAGACTTCCAGGGATGGTGACTCCACCACCTCCCTGGGCAGCCCGTTCCAGTGCCTAACAACCCTTTCAGTAAAGAAGTTCTTCCTAACATCTAACCTAAAGGTCAGGGTAAATTCATTAAGGGCAAAGCTAATTTGCAGCAAGATTTATGTAAGGCTGGAGAAATTCTGTTGAAATGAGATTAGCTTTAAGGTATGAAATAAACTGTTGAGGTTGGATTGCATGAAGTATCAATCTCCTTTCCATCTTAAGAAACTCTTAATAATCAGAATAAAACAAATCTGATGTAAACTGTATTCACCATTGAAGTGAAATATTCAAACGGAAGGAAGGAATTATTAAAGCTAGTATGGAATATTAAGATTTCTTGTACCCTGTGTCAAGAGGCATAGGAACCGGAAGGTGGTTCTTCCGTCATTCCGGATGTGATTAATAATGTCTCATTATTTCATTCAGGAATGCCTAAAACAAAAGAAGTGGGCATCTGGCATGCCACTTAGGGCTTGGACTTTCAAATGAGTTTTTGTGTTGAGATCTGAAATCCCATTAAATTTAAATGGGATTAAGCACTTGTGCTCTTTTGAGCATCTTGATTTAAGTATATTTATTTTGCAATTCACGTTATATTCTGACTTTGAAATCTCAGAGATTCTGGAATCCATGCAGGATGCTTTAATCAGAATTATTTATTCATAAAAATATACAAGCAACCATGCTACAACACTGTATCACAGTCTGTGTTACCAACTTACCTGATATAAAACACTTATTATTTATTATTATTCATTATTATGGTATTGTTATTCAATATTAAGATACTTGTATAAGATAAACCATAAGTTACTCCGTTCTTAGAGTTATTTAAAAACTAACAGGTACATTTTTGTGTTCCTTTTTTCATAGCGGGGAAAGTGGTGCTGGAAAGACTGTGGCTGCTAAATATATTATGAGCTATGTCTCCAAAATTTCAGGAGGTGGCCCTAAAGTACAGGTGAGTTGATTTAGGGCAATACTGAAGCATAAGCATAGTCTGAAAATTGAATTCAGAGGTAGAATGGCAAAGGTCTGTCTTGGCAGATGCTGGCAGCCAGTAGGCACTTAACTGCAGAAGCTTGTGAGCAGCTGTGTGTATATACAAGTCCTCAACAGCAGGGAGTCAGCTGAAGAGAATACTGAATACTTGCTTGCAGGTCTCTAGGCCACCTGTGTGAGGAGAAAATCTACAAAACCAGAATGATCTCTGTTAAGTTGTTTTTTTTTTTAGCTCTCACACTAAAATATGCCTACAAGTGTGTGTGTGTGTGTGTGTGTGTATATATATATATATATGTTTAGTTAAGGTGGTGTAAAACTTTATCATTCTTAACCTTGTTAAGCAATCTTCTATTAGTAGGTGTGATTTATTTTTTTCTCCTGGACTGGTATTGCATTGAAAACTGAACTGGCTTTTCATGTTTGTATTATTTCCGTTCCGTCTCTGATTTGTAGGCATGCATTAGAGAGCCAACAGCAGGAACATCATCTTGTTTTATCAGGTTATCTAATCAAAAGTATAGTATCTGAAAGCTATCTGAAATAACAAATAGTTCCTTTTCTTAATAACTGTATTACCAAGTCTGCTCTATCTACAGAAGAAGCCCATGAAGTAAAGCCAGTTGCCTTGAGCAATTTCACTTGAAATAAAATTCAATTTTACTTATACAGTTCAGCATGCATTAAGTTTCTTCTGAAACTAATAGCTAGACCATAATTCCAACTCCTAGGATCAGATACAGAAACAATAGTAACAGACTCTATGGCTGTCTAAGAGCTGGTAGCAGCATCACTGGCCCTCAGACAGGTTGCGTAAGTACTTGGAGAAGCCTACATTTCATGTTCTGACTTCATACGTTGTGGTTGCAGACCCTCAAAGTGATCTAAGTGCTTATGTGGAGGAAGGAAATTGCTTAAAAACAAGAAGATGAAAGAAAAAACACAAGAAAACCGTATCAATTTATTGGCTCTGTTGTTTTGCCCAGCAGTGAACAGAAGGACTAGTTGTTTGCAGCCTCAGGCATTTTGTTCAGTTTTCTAAGATTTTCTTCAGAAAATAAGAAGCTTCAAAAACATGAAAGCTCTGAAAAAAGATTGCATCCAAGAGGATATTTTCCAGATATGGCCTTTATTACTTTTTTATACATAATTTAGATGTCATGGTTTCCTTGAAAAACTCTTAAGAACTTAAAACAAGCAAACAAAAGGCTGTTAAAAAAAAATCTATTTCTGAATCTCTGTTTCTTTTGTTTCCTCAAATTTTAGCATGTGAAAGATATAATTCTACAGTCCAACCCTTTACTAGAGGCCTTTGGGAATGCAAAAACTGTACGGAACAATAACTCCAGCAGATTTGTAAGTCCATCTCCCTTAGAGATTTCCTTCATGCTTCCAACTTCTATAGTGTTATTATTCAGGAGTTTAAGATAAAATTGTTTATATTGTGTATGATAGAAGATATATCAGGATAAAATATAAAATAAAATATAAATAAAATAAAATTATTTATATTATTAATTACTCAGGAGTGTAATATAAAATAAATACAAATGAAAGAAAACTATATCAATTATAGACTGTGTTTTAAAACAAAGTATATGTTGAGAGGCCTCTTTAATTCTGTATAAACTGTACATTTATTACTCTTGCAATATGTACAGGTCAAAATTTATAAAATTCTCAGTCTGTAAGCAAATGACAGCAACAAACCATTAAGGTTAGTAAAATATATGCAATAATATATATATATATTTATAGTACATAAAAGCATCCTTAGAGTTATTTGATGAGAATTAAATACCTTTATTAGTATGTACAGAAAGCAGGAATTATTTTCATTGTGTCATTATAAAATACTCAAGGTACTGTTGTGAAATAACTGCTAACATACCGTAGGTTCTGTTTTTAGAAGTTACATATAGGCTTTACAAATTTGCTGTTTGTTCCTAAGCCAACATGAGTGTTAGTACGATTAATGTTTCCCTGAAAGGACAAAATAATTGCTTTACCTTGCTTCCAAGCAGAACACTGCGTTTGCCATTGGTCATGAATCTGTTAAATTTACTTTCAGTAGAGGTGGGCATTACGGTTTCCTTTATGCTAAGCAAGAGTCTCAGCAATGAAAAAGAAGCCCCTCACTTCCTCTCTACCTTTGCGTTACTGCATGATGTATTATCCCTAGTCTAGCACTGTATAAATGAAGAAAGAAGGAAAGATATGTGATAGTTCAAGATTCTTAGCTCTGGTAAATCTTGAGGTAGCTGAGTCACAATATCGATAATAATTAAATACGCTACTAACCTTCCTTGAGATATAGTACAAGTAGTGCATTATTTACTATTTACTAATCATTCAACAACTTTAATTATTTATTGCAGGGGAAATACTTTGAAATCCAGTTTAGCCCAGGTGGAGAGCCAGATGGAGGAAAAATCTCCAATTTCCTACTGGAAAAATCTAGAGTTGTAATGAGGAATCCTGGAGAGAGGAGTTTTCACATTTTTTACCAGGTACCTACAGCTCTTTTATGAGTTATTTAAAATAACTTGTACCTGTTATTCCTTTTGATTGAAAAGTCATTCTCAACCCAATGAGATTATTGAACATGTTTTGAAAAAGATAATCTGGATATCATTGAGAAACTTCATAGCATCTTAAGGCACCATCTGACAGACCTATCTAGCTGCCTTTCAACTCTAAAAGGAAAGTACTTCAACATTTCAGAGGCCCAACCTGGAAATTTGGTGTGATCTCCCATATGGAAAAATGCAATAGAATATAGTAGAAAATGAGAACTTTCAAACAAATTTCTTTTTAAACTGGTTTATATAATTTTACCTTCTGCTCTGGAATTCTATAGCACTGCTGTGAAAAAGAGATTTAATTCTATTTTGTGGGACACTTAGGATTATATCGGTATGGTGAATTCTCCAAAAATCCTCTCAATTTATGTTACAAAAGGCTTTTCTATCCTTCGCTGGTCCTTTATTTAAGAGTTTCTTATCTGCTTAAGTGCTGCTGACCAAGCTCTACAAAACTAAAGACAGTACATTGTAAGTGACTGTCAACAGCATCACATAAAGTTGAAGTGTTGTGAGGATGGAAAGCTGAGTCGGAGCTGGAATTGCTCCAGGAACTGTGTATTCTCCTTGTCTGAGGCATATGAACAGTTTGCAGTGTCCTGCAAATTTTCCTCTGTGTCTAGGAGAAGCTTTTTGATGCAGGCAGTTCGAAGACTGTATGAGGTTTTGACTGCTCCGAGCTGAGATCAGTTTGTTCATTCCTTCCTATTGCAGCTGTATGTCTGCACAACTGTGCCTCCCTTTCAGTAAGTATGGAAAATATGTTGCTCCTGAGGATTTAGGTAAAACATTGAAGACTGGAAAAACAGCTTTGCCTAATCTTTGAGATAAAGATAATAGAAGACATTTACTAAACCATTTATGAGAGGGGGAACGAATATATGGTCATTCACTTAGCAAAAAATAGGAAGGTTACAAACTTTGCACAGTATTACCCTTCTTTCCTAATAATTTCAGACTCAGTCCTGTTTCTGACGAGCTTCATCTGTGCTGAAGGTTGTTATGTAATGCCTAATAATATTGGGATTTTATTTTGTAGCTGATCGAAGGGGCATCTTCAGAACAAAAAAGCAGTCTTGGCATTACCACCATGGATTACTATTACTACCTGAGTCTATCTGGGTCCTACAAAGTAGATGACATCAATGACAAATCTGATTTCCAAGAAACACTGGTGGGTTTTTTATGCTGATTTGTGTAGTGGTGCATGTATGCTCGCTTCACTGTGAAGGTGTTTTGTGAAAGAAGGTGTTTTGTTTTCCATTTGTCTTTTCTCATAAGGGTGAAAATTTTGTAATTTGTGCGCAGATAAATTGTACATTTAGAATCTGCGGTATAAAATGTGAAACGCAAACACACTGAGGAATTTCCATTAGAAGAAAATACAAAAGAGCACACTTTTAGCTGAATTCTTGTTGGTGCCTTCTCTTCTGTTCCTATTTAAAACATCACAACTGAAAGGCTGGATAAAGGGACCTAGAAAGCATAGATTAGAAATCTTTACCCAATATTGTTGTCAGTTCATTGTGTAACATTTATGGAGGTCACATCAACTTCCTGATTTCCTGTTATTGGAAAATCACTACTTAAAATAAGCATATTAACATGTCTTCTTATTTCTATTTGTAGCACACTTATAAATGCATTCCAAAAAAAAAAAAAAAAATTGTTACTTCTACATTCTAGCTAATTGGGTATTTTGGAAAAAGAGTAAGTTGAAAAGACATTTTGTAAGTTGTCATGGACTCTAGACTGACTCAAAAACACAACGTTGTGCTGAATCACTTTCTAATAAGTAGCTGAAATAGCCTAAACCAGACAGACTGTGCTACTGTAATGTTGAGAGTCATCCAGTACCTCTTCATAATTGTTAGTCTCAGTAGAAAAACTATGCATAGAAGGAACAAAATCATTGTCTCTTAGGTTCGTTGTTCCCCATTTTGCAGTAAACAATTTATTTTCAGTGTGACACTCAAGGGCAGGTGCTTGTTCTTCTAAATGGTGTAGATGTTTCTGTATATAATTATTAAAAATCAAAAATGCTCAGGTAGGATATCTGGTGCCTTTGGATAATTCAGGCTGTAATGTAATTTGGATGTGTTAAGTATTTAAACTCTTCATAAACTGAAATTTTTAATATAAAAAATTTAAAAGGACTTTTATGATGAAAGTAATTGAACAGACTTGTTGACGTTTTTTTTCTTCCAGCATGCAATGAGTGTGATTGGGATCTTTGCAGAAGAGCAGGCATTGGTACTACAAATAGTGGCTGGAATACTTCATTTGGGAAACATCAGCTTCAAAGAAGTTGGCAACTATGCAGGAGTGGAAAGTGAAGAGTGTAAGTACCTCTGGAAACTGTTACAGAATTAGCAGTGGGCTGAAACCCAGATGGCATGAGCTGAACTGCCATCTTGAGCTTCTTATCCAAACACAGTGCATCATTTCTTTTAGTGTGAGGCTGTTAATTTAGGTTTTTCCAAAAACAATAATGGTACTGAGGCCCCTGTTCTGTCTAGTGCAATGCCATTGACTTTAACAGAAATGTAATTTTGAATTTAGGAAATCTTTTTCCAGCGTTTAAGCATGAAATAATTGAAATTGTGAGAACGTCTTTCAAGCAAACTTAAATGTATTCTCCATTCAGTGCATCAACAGTCATTCATAAAATTAAAAACAAAAAAAGTTTCTTAATGGTTTGTCTGACATCATCCTCATGTGGAAGCAGCTACCAACTTGTAGAGTATCTCTAGTCTCAGGTGCACAGTTAGTGCTTGGGCGTACATACACACATCCAACAGAGTAGCCTTGAAAATGCGTTGAAGATCAGAATTTACATACTATAAATGTTATCTTCGTTGTCTCAAATTTCTCATTCCACGCTTTGTTATCAGATATATCTACCCTGGAAATATTTCCTTATTTGTAATGTACTGACCTGGCATCCTTGAGCTCTTGCTGCTATTTTATATCAGATGGTGGTGAGGCACTGGAACAAGTTCCCCAGAGAACTGTGGATGCCCCATCTCTGCATGTGCTCAAGGCCAGACTGGATGGGGCTTTGAGCAACCTGATCTAGGGGGACGCGTCCCTTCCTGTGGCAGAGGGTTGGAACCAGATGATCTTTAAGGTCCCTTCCAACCCAAACCAGTCTATGATTCTGCGTTAAGAGTGTAGAGTTATATTGTGTTTGGTTCTGCTTCCCTTACACTAAATCATCAGCACAGTGAAGGAGGAGTTTTTGAGGTGGCTCTTATCATTATACTTCCCTCATAAATTCTTACAGTAATATTGGCTAAATATTTATTCTGGAATCTTTACAGTGTATGTGAGCATATTTGGTCTATACTTCCCTACAGTCTCTTGCCTTTTAAAATACACGATGTTTAACCTTTTCATGTTCTCAGTGAGTTATCAGAGATGCTGCTATAGACTCAACTTTGGATAGTTCCTTGGTTACTAGTACCCTTGGGTAAATTTAAACAGTTTCCTGATTGTAATCAGAAAGCTGTCAGTTATTAACGGTTCTAAAAATACTTTTGGATTAATGTAGTAAAGGGTTTAAAGAAGCCAGATCATGCTGTCATATTACAGATGTGTAAAGCTCAAATGGTTGCTGTCCTAGTGATTATTTTACATCTTCCTCACACCAGTAGAGCAGATCTGAAAGTAATGGAACATGAATGAAACATTGTTAGAGGATTATGTGGTTTAGTGGAAGCACAACAGTAACTCCAAGAGACCTACCCTTGGGAGCTATTTCCATATGCTCTTAAGCAATTTCTTTTTTCCCATTCCTTAAGGTGTGTGACACCTGCAGCTAACATCTGCTCTATGTGCTAAAATGCAAATACTGGACTTGTGGTTGCTTATTGCACAGATGTGTATTTTTCTGCTCTGCTTTTATACAATGGGAACCAGAATTTTCCCTGTAGTTTCAGAATAAGGGTTAAAAAACAAATAAATGGAAGGGAATTTAAGATTTTTTGCAATATTCTTAGAGGAAGAAAGGGAAAGGATTTTAGGAAGCAATAGTACTCTTTTCTTATTATACTTTATACGTTTCATGTATTTACACATTTTTTTTCAATTGCTTCAGTTTTATTTAATATGTGAGCTTTGTGTTTTCCTCCCATCTCCTCCAGCCACTCCATCAACCACATAGTTCAAAACTATGGTTTAAGACCGTTTAAAGGACTGAAGGTACAGAAATAGATGACTATTTTACTTTGAGGTGGTTTACCTTAATTAAAATCCACGTACGCAAGGACCTGAACATTTCCTTGAGGAGCTTAGAGGAATTTTTAAGAAATAAATACCTATTTATTTTTTTAAAGCTGCATGCCCCATGAGGCTTATTACTGCTGTTTGTTACTAGTGATACAACTAATTTTTTTTCTTTTATTCTGCACTGGTTTAGTGTATAAGTCATAATCTAGCAACCTTGATTTTTCTTACAGTTTTGGCTTTCCCTGCTTTCCTCCTGGGAATTAACCAGGACCGCCTAAAGGAAAAACTGACCAGCAGACAGATGGACAGCAAGTGGGGAGGCAAATCTGAGTCCATTAATGTAACACTAAACGTAGAACAAGCTTGCTACACCAGGGATGCACTGGCCAAGGCCCTTCATGCCCGTGTTTTTGATTACTTGGTAGATGTAAGTTGTATTTGCTTGATTCTATTGAAGTATTGATACAGTGGGAATGTTCCTTGCAGAGCTTTTTTTTTTTTTTTTCACCTGGTATATGTTCCTTTGCCTAAGCCTTAGCAGCAGCACTGAGCAGTGCAGTGGGAACACAACCACATACAGGGCACTGATTATATGACAAATGCTACACTTCCTTTGAAGCAAATGAGCTGTGCTTTCAGCGCTGTATTTGTTCAGTCTCTTGCCACAACTGACCTGTGTGATGTTCTGACATCTCCTTTCTGTCACCATCCATACTTCTCTGAAATCAGTCTTATTTTTCTCCTACAGAATTGAGCATTTTCAAATGAGCAGAATAAATAGGTTATGTTACTTGTCCCCTGTTCTCTTACCCCACTCTCCTGCAGAGAATCTCCTTCAGCATCCTGATACTGTGGCATTTGAGCAAATGCTCAAACTGCACTTTCCATGCTGCAGTGCTTTCTATTCAGGATGACGCTGTAGGCTGAATTGGCAGGGGATAAACCTTACCTTTGGCCACAGATGTTAGCTAGATTAGATGAAGTCTGCTCATCTGCTCTGTGCTGGCACTGCTAGTATCTCAGAAGCCTTCCTGTTCATGACAGTTCTGAAATTCCTGCTATATGAAATAGGGGAATACAGAAATTAGTGAAAAAAATCATGTTACTATCTGCAAAACACATCAAATATCAGACTTAAAGCTGGTCTGTTTTTTTTGTTCACTCTTTTTTTCTTCAACTGCACTGAGCCAGTTACACCAAAGGAGAGATTTTTACAAACAGAAAATCCAAAGGCTCACTGACTTGGAAAACAGGGTAGTATACTGTTAATTTCCTAGATATTAATAACACTTTATTAAAAAGTAAAGTACCCTATTAAATACATATGTATTCCATTCCAATATGTTATTTCTGAAGAAACACTGTATTTATATAAAGATTTATGAATATACCATTTAAATATTGTAAGCTTCACCTTGTTTTATGTTTTTTGTTTGTTTTATTAGTCCATTAATAAGGCTATGGAGAAGGACCATGAAGAGTATAATATTGGTGTCCTCGATATTTACGGCTTTGAAATATTCCAGGTGAGACGATGCAACATTCAGCATTTGAGCTGATCTGACCTGACAGTTTTTTGTTATTAGAAGGGAAAAAATCTAACAGGGAAAAAAAAAAAAGTTTGGCGGCAGAATAGAAGCCAAAAAAAGACAGCTTCTTGGACATTAAGTTCTTGCTGCTAATGTCTCGCTTAGTAAACACAAAATATTGAAGAAAATTCAAAGAAACTAGGTCATTGATCCTAAAACAAAGATCTGAGATTATACACGCCTATAAAATCAGAAACCTATCCATCATTGACAATATTTCTGTGAAGCTTCTCCTACTATTGCCAACGTAAGAACTAAGAATTACTGCATGAGAATAACTTTGTTTCTTTTTCTATAGAAAAATGGCTTTGAGCAGTTCTGTATCAACTTCGTTAATGAAAAACTGCAGCAGATTTTTATTGAACTGACACTGAAAGCAGAACAGGTAACCAGACATTATTTTTGACTTCACAGAATGAGCTATCATTTTCTCAGTTGGTAGAAAAAGTGAGGTTTCATCATCTGTTAACAATAAAATTTGCCTTGTTAAGCAAGAAACAAAAAAAAACAAACCAAACCAAAATAAAATCTTTGCTGTTGGCTAACCCTAAAACTGTAAACCAAGCGAGTCCGTCATACTGTGTACTAATGCAGTCATATGACTGCCTAGACTTGCTGCGTACTCTGACTCACTGACAGGAATGGAAAACTGCAGTTCTATTCCATCTCTGTGCTTTCATTGGACATGACAGAGTAAAATGGGAATACTTTTCTTAGTTTCCTCCACACCCATTCCCCTCTCAGTTTCTTTTTTTTTTTTTTTTAATGTATACAAAATAGATCCCCGTGGCAAATGCGCAAATATTCTGTGTATTTGCATTTCTCTGCTCACAGTCTCACTGAAAAACCCCTCTTTATGTGAAGGGAGCTTCTGCATGGGAGGGCAGACATAATGCAGCTGAGACAGTAATTGTGTACAGTATGAGCTCAGGCCTGGCACCGACTTTAGGACAGTGTTTTCGAGAATGTGCATACACAATTGCCTTTGTATAAAAGTAACTGATCAATGCAGTTGAGCACACAAATAACCTTCTAAGTGTCTAGCTAAATTCATATGTATGCAACTGAGTGAATCAATTTAATCAAATTTCAGCATGATTTTTATTCCAGTCTCTGTCCTTATGGTCATAGTAATTGTATACAGAAATAAAAAGTAAAGCTGTCTCCATTTTATGTCCATTTCTCAATGTGTTATTTTGAGGGCCTGATTTTTGATATGCCTGTCATAAACTTATTTTGTAAAATACTTTAGAACATGGATGCTTAATTGCATTGTCAAGATAACATAAAGCTTATTTTGTTGCTATTTGCAAAGGACTTTGACAATAAATGCACTGGCAAAATATTCCTGCTGGTCTTAGTGACTACAAAAGAATGTGTGGACAGCACAGGGAAGGATCCTAATTCTGCTCTTAGGTGTAGAGAGCTGGTTTTAACCATCATATGGGTCATTCCTCTTCTTTACCCAGAAACAGAGTTGACAGGTTTTTCTAAGCATAGAGTGTGTATGTAGTATATTGTAGATCTGCTGATAGAGATGTGGTGCATGGGAATATTTGCATTTTTTCCTCTTACTTAATAGGAAGAATATGTGCAAGAAGGAATCAGATGGACTCCGATAGATTATTTTAACAACAAAATAGTGTGTGACCTGATAGAGAACAAAGTGGTAAGTAATTGGCATAAACAGATGGAAAAAAAAAAAAAAAAGAACTGTCTCTAAAATATTTGGGCAACTGCTTTGCTGTCAAGAACATTCATGAGAAAAATGCAAATACTGTTGTTCAGTAACTGAGTCATACTAAGCCTATATATAAATCTTACATAAGGTATCTTATAAGATCTTACAAGAGCTCTAAGATATGTTATTTAAGATATTGGCCAAAAAGAGAACCATAAGATAGTATGTTTGATAGACATGATTGAAAAATTCACTGGTTGGAAATTACTTTATCCACCTAAATTTGTCATCAATTTCATGACATATGCTCCTGTATACATTAGGTAATTTTTGGTAATATACATAGGTATTTTTTGGTGGAACAAGAAAGAAGATTACTTTGCAAAGTTTTCTAAAAAGTTCTTAACAGGCATAATTTCCGACTCTGTCACTACCATTACATGAACTTGTATCTCTTGTTAAACTGTTTACATGCTACTGTACAAATTAACCTTTACTATGAACTGTATAGATTGATGGAGATTTCTTCCTGCTGTGACTTTGCTCTCTTGTTTTTGTACTAAAGAATTTTCTTTTGGGGGTAGGCATTAAGCTTTTTTTTTCCCTCACTTTGTTGTTTTCCTCAAATGCATTAGAATCCCCCTGGAATTATGAGCATTTTAGATGATGTATGTGCCACAATGCATGCAGTGGGAGAAGGAGCTGACCAAACACTGCTACAAAAACTCCAGATGCAGATTGGGACTCATGAACATTTCAACAGCTGGAACCAAGGATTTATCATTCATCATTATGCTGGAAAGGTAGTATGGAAAATCATCACTGAATTCCGCATAATGCATTTATAAGGAAAAAGAACAGTCATGAAGGGAAGGGGGAAGTACTACCTCTAGAGGGCTATTCTGATTTTAAATAGGCAGATTATCTCAGGAGACAGTGCCATCCTTTCTCAACTCATGGAACTTAAAACACACATGCCCTGACATAGGTCCCTTACTTAGGATAGATGTCTGGGCCTTGCTGCTGTCAACTGTTTTAAAAAAATCTAGTATTAAATGTAATAAATACGTCAGTCTTCATTGTCAGTTATAATAGCAGTAGGTTTAAAGCATTCAGGCATAAAAATGATCCTTAATGTACTAGTCAAATTAGAAATATATACAGATCCTATGTACAGTTACTTGGGCATATTTCTCAGACTATTCATGATTTCCTGCTGTTACATTGAATAACAGTAAACCCTTATTGTGCTAAATATTTTTATTCTATAAAGTATTGAAATCACACGCATTTTATTCTATTCACCAGTTTCATTTTTCTTCTTTGAGTTTAAGTATATGGATTAAATTCCTTTGTTGTGAAAGAGTTAACTAATATATGCAGGAATTTTTTAATCCCTATACTGCCTTTAAGTAATACTAGACTAACCACAAAGTTCAGATCAGCTACTGATGAGGACAGGATATAAATTTTCTGTAATTATTGGGTTCTCAACTTACCACAAACAATCAATTTCCACCTTGGCCCAGGTATCTTATGATATGGATGGATTCTGCGAGAGAAATCGGGATGTTCTTTTCATGGACTTGATTGAACTCATGCAGAGCAGTGATTTGTACGTAAGCAAAACTTGCTTAAAGCTAGGAATAATGTGCTAGTTCAGATGGATGCAGAGGGCCTGACTACTCTGCTATTTTGCAACTTGTCAACTGATTTGCATAAAAATGGAAATGAACCATCACAGAAAAACAGCATCGCTTGCATTGTACTCAGTCTTCATTTTCTGCAAATCTCATTAATTATGTAAGGTACCAAAGTGTCAGAATTAGGTAGTATATTGATAAATGTTTTTTTGGCCTCAAAGCAGGCCATCACTGATATGGCATTATCTCAGAACAGGAACTATTTTAACATAAACGTTTTTTAATTTATTTTAACTAACTGAGGCTTTTTAGGAAGTGCTTTTTGCTTTGAGTCTTGAAATCTGTTATCATGTGTCTTTACAAGGCTCACTAAAATACTGAGGGATCTCTATGAGGAATGAAGCTCTTGGAAAATAGTAATCTTAAAAGAGATTTGATACAACTCTGGGTTAACAGAAATAGCTCTTTATATTTTACTCAAATATCAACTTTAACAGCATATTCCTTGACATTCCAGTATTTAATTGTCTTTCTATTCCAACGCTATTTTGTTTATTCTTTTCTAGGCCTTTTATAAAGGCTTTGTTTCCTGAAAATCTTCAAGCGGACAAGAAGGGTCGCCCTACCACTGCAGGCAGTAAAATCAAAGTATGACTAATTTTTTGTTATATTAGTGTGTGTTTGTGCAAGTTTAAAAAAAAAAAAGTCGTCTTTGCTTGTTTTTATTATCCAGATATTTTTGAAGATAGACAGTGGAGTGTTCTGACTGCAAAGCAATGCGTTGTTTCAGCTGTTAGAATCATGTTTTGCCCAGCATCACTGTTCATTAAACCTTTTGTTCATCTGCATTCTACAGCAGTGAATTTTCCAAATGAGCAATTGATGGTAGTGATAATACTACTTGCATGTGCATAGTGAATGAGCCCCTTTACTCAGCCACTTGATATCCGACAAATAACTACAGATAACTAGTCTCTTTATAGTGCAGAAATGCAGCAGAGCCTGACCCTACACCCACTGAAGTTAACAGAAGTCTATCTATTGACCATAGTGTGGGCTGAATAAAGCAACAAGTGTTAGAAGGAGTCTTTTTTTTTTGAGACTGGTTGTAAAATACATGCTTAGATATACTTACTTGAAGACTTTGGAAATTAATATTTTTTCAGTGTCTGTCCTTATATTTTACCCTGATGGTTAAGCTCACCTAACACATTCCCCATGATATGCATTCCCCACTCCCTGTTTTTATATAGTAGTTTAAATATGTTACATGGTTGGAGATAATAGTGCCTTCTGTTTACTGAAAATGTTTTCCTGAGGTGAGAGACTTGTGGAAGGTGTTGAGTTTTTAAGTGGATGTGTTTATACGTCTTTTACATACATATTTATAGACACCAACGTGGGTAAGTTTTAAATAATAAGAATAAAACTGAGTGAGCAAAAGTGATTTGCAAAAACACAGGAACAAAGAGCAGAAAAATTTCCAGTAATATAAAGATAATAGCATCCTTTCCTTAATTTTGGATGTTTGTAGTATTAAGAGGTGGTTTTTGTTTTGGTTTGGTTTTACTTTCTCCCTCTCACCTTACACATACATGCACATACATGACTTTTTCTGTACATTGTTTCCGGGCTAGAAGTGCAGGTCTGCTACTGCTATATATTATCCCAAGACAGTTCTGGAGAAAAGAACCAAACCCAAATGGATCATCAGTAGATGTTTGATGTTTTTACAACTCTCTCAGAGGATTTACTCTCTTTAGGTCAGATCTTATTATTTTTTCCTTGATTTTACAGAAACAAGCAAATGATCTTGTTGGCACCCTGATGAAGTGTACACCCCATTACATTCGCTGCATCAAACCAAATGAAACAAAGAAACCTCGAGACTGGGAGGAGAGCAGGTATGTGCATAAGCAGCCAAAAAAAAAAAAGCCACCAAAAAATCATGATCTTTAATCCTATAACCTACAGACCAATAAATTGGGCACATGATCTAAATAAGCAGTTAGTAGATGCAGTTCTTAGTTTTTTTTTTTCATAGTAGTTAGAGATGATCAAAATCTGCAGAATATGTAGCAGTAAAACTATAAGTATATTAAAGACTTTGTTTTCCATATGGAATTTGCACACCAAATGCGTTATACATCAATTCTAGCTTTTGCTCTGTGCTTTGAAAACAGCTTCTATTAGATAGCTGAAAGCCAACAAGACATTTGTATTTGCTGTCATGTATCAAACAAGCAAAACAGAAAAAAAGTGTTTATAGCAAAGAAATATAGGTTTCATGTTTTTTTTATTTTCCAACATTTAAGTTTCATTAGCCAGCTCTTTAAAGAGAAATAACTAGAATATCATTCATACAGACATTGAATATATGCCTAAATCATTAATTAGGTTTATTGCATCTGTTTTAAGTCACCTTTAACCATGTGGTGCTTTTTAACATCTTCATAGTATCTTAAAAAAAAAAAAAAAAAGATACATTTTTTTCTTCCACTGAGGTCAGGTACAGTATTTAACATTTTTAATTATATACCAAGTACTTCTGGTATTGGTAGAAGTGCTGATAATAGCAATTAGTTATTTTTGTCACAGTGAAACGATTTGTGAAGTCTGATAAAGAATATTCTTGACCACATCAACAGCATGCCAGAATTCACTTCCTGCTTATTTGGCACACAGACTAGCACAATTACATGCAGATGTAGAGCACTTACAGAAGCCACAATCACGACTGCCCCTTGAAAGTGTCATTTAGGTCTTGGCAGTAAATGATAGACCCTCTTTCTCTAGCTTTTCCCACCTTTTAAAAATCCTACTATGCAGCACTTAATTTCTCACCCACACTGGGACCAAAGGAGGAAAGTTATTCTAGTGAAAGTATGTCTAAAAGTTGTAGCAAAGCAAAAAATACAAATTGGGGGCACTTTAAAAATCAATCATTTACATATTGGAAAACAGGCCTATTATTGTGGGAAGTGTTGCTAGGAAACCAATGAAACGAAACAAAACAAAACAAAAAACTAATCCTGACAAAAGGCCAGCTTTCAGGAAGCCCATTTTGGAATAAAAGTGGGTAAGATTTCTCCCCCCTCCCAACAGGGATGGCATTTAGCAAATGCAGCAACTGGTGACACTAAGATAAATGAAATACAGATGACTGTATAATATCAAACTCAACTACAAATAGAATTACTTCTTAGGATGGTAATCCTTCATCCCTGTTTACAAATACTAAGATTCTTTCCCTTTTCAAACCATTTCTCATATATTCTGACATCATATTGTATACATATGCTGTAACATTTAGTGAAATTTGCAGGAAAAATAAATGTAATTATATGCATATATCAACTCAAAACTTCAGCTTGTTTAATTTTGTCATTTCATGATTTTACCATGAGAAAGTTCTGCTGAAGGAAACAAAAATGCAACTGAGTATGTGTTATTTTTCTGAATGTTGCAGTAGTGTTTTTGGTTTTCTTTTGTGATCATTCAGTCTTGTATCATACACATGCTGCCGTACTTAAAAATACGATGGGAATAGTATATTTAATCTGCTTATTAGTAGCATATTACTAGACAGTGGAAGTGTTATCAAGTAAGGAGAAACTTCACAAAAGCCCATCTTCATGCTCATACAACCCATGTCACTTCAGCCTTCTACAGCTGTTGAATAATTTCAGATTGTTTTGTACTTTAAGATGGACCTTGTATAATACCTAAACCTTGTATAATACCTTAGTTATTCAAAAAATTGGGGTGTTCCTTGAAATGTGTTTTTGTTCAGATCCTGGCACAGCCACTTGGACATGTATTCAAAATTGCTGCATTAGCTGAATTCCCAGACCCTGACCTGCTTGAGGTTGATGCCTGGAGGGAGTTTTTCAGTGTGCCTTTTCTCAGAAAGAAAAAGAAAAACAGAAAAATGTCTCAAATTCTGTGTTGCTGGACACTAATACTGGCAGGACAGTAAGAAAAAGGGAGTAATACTGTTGCTGCAGTGCATTATTCCAGATGTGAACAGGAAGGAAAAGCTATAAACAGGAAAACGTATTTTTGTCTATCAATTTTCTACTGTTACTGTACCAGAATTTTTGGAGTAGGTATTAAAAATACTTTATTCCTTGAACACAGCAAGTTAAGATGTGCAGTTTTTTTTATTATAAGACAAAAGAGCAGCGTCTCTCTGTAATAAAATACCTCTAAAAAGAAATAACCACAGGGCTTCTGTTATTTGTAGCATGGGATTTCAATTTTTTCCCCTTATACTGAGTCATGTGAAAAGAATGTCTCTACCAAAAAAAAAAAAGTGATCAAATTTATATTGAAATTTAGCATTTCAAAATACCTAAAGAAATAATACCAAATTAACCTAGAGAGTTTTCAAGATTTGAAATATCTTGATTCATAAAATTGGTGAAATGGTACTTTAAAAAAGGATTAAAATTAAATGGACTTACAGACTCACTTTTTTTTTTTTAATAATGTGAAGAATTTTTATATACTGTTTATTAAATTTAGAGGACTAAAATCTTAACTTACTTCTGACTGAAAGCTAAAGCTTGCATAATTTGCCCTATAAAAAAAAACAACAGAGCCCCTGGAACACCACATTTCAGAATTAAAAGCTGACATTGCTTCTTTCAACCACATGACTTAGATGAGAAAAGTAAAGAAATGCAAAGGAAAACAGCACAAATCGACAATTGTTAGCAAAGTTAACTGAAATTCTTCAAATCAAATCTCCAAGCATTAAAAAGCAGACTAGTAGGATATGTAAGAAAGAACTTAAAATATGTTCCACAGCTCCAGAGACAGGAAAAGGTGCCAAAAGATTTATGGGGAAATACTTGTTCCTTGTTTAGAACCTGAAAGAGTTTTGCATGAGGGAAATGTAATGGTGTTGGGATAACGATGTTTCAGCTCGTGTGTACAGCAGAATCACCCCACAGCCATTAATTAACACTTTCATCTGGAAAAGTACCAGCTCAGTTTTTGTTTAGAATTAAAGTATGCCATGAGCAAACTTACCAGGCACGCTTCTGCCTATCCTCAGATCCTCCCTTTGCAATATGGTAAAGTCAAGAACAGTGCTAGCTTTTCACGAATATATTGCCCAAGGTTTCCTATTTCTGATTGTGTGTGTGTGCTGGAAGTTCGGAATCTGGGCCTTTCTCCTCTCCTCAGATGCAGCTCTTCTCCAGAACAGCCAAAAATGAGCTGTGTGCAACTGTCAATGTTTGAGCTATATAAACATAGGTGAAAACTACAATAAAAGAATGCAATTTCCCACTGCCTGGAATATCAGCTATGTAATTGTGTAGGTAGTTATTTGGCTTTTTATGGGTAATATTAGTGAAGAAATTTATACATGAATTAGGAGGTAGGTAGTTAGGCTACAATAGGGAATGCTACAGTAAATTTCCTGCATATATTTCAGTAATGTAGTCTACCTGCCCTGAGTATTTATTCTGCCATGCAGCGTGCTTGGTAATATGCAAGAATAAATAGATTCATATATGAATTTTATTATTTCATATATGCATGAATTTTACAAGTAGTCTTCTTTACTTCTAAAAATAACAGATTTTAAATCTTGTTTTGTCCACAGGGTAAAACATCAAGTGGAATATTTAGGTCTTAAAGAAAATATTCGAGTACGAAGAGCTGGCTATGCCTACAGGCGGGTTTTCAAGAAGTTTTTGCAGAGGTAGGAAAATACTAATTTTGAAATATTACAGTACAATTGTTTACACGATGAGGAAAAAAAGAAGTTGCAATTTTTAAGCGCTTCTCATGTCCCACTTTTCCTTTCTCCTATTTACCTTTATCTAGGCTATGCAGAGATTTAAATGTATCTTAAAGACTGTCTATTGTTGTCTTTGAAAGTCTTTTCACTTTCCTGTAAACTTGCTGAAGACTTCAGTTTTTTTTGTAGTGTTTTTAAAGGGTTGCTGAAAGTTAGAACTGAAGTCAAGAGAACTTAGAGTTAGGAGCTGTGTGTTCTGGAATCTGAGGGTAGCTCTCCAACTGCTCTTTGCCAGTGACAGGATAGGCAAAGAAATATGTGCCTGCCATTCAGCCATTTCAGTGCAAATTCATACCGTAACATGTGGACTCCATTTTCATTATGAAATAATTTTTAATCCTATTTTTTTCTTTATCTTCAAGCCCAGACATAATAAACATGAATGTGCTTCAGAGTATAAAACCTTATGTGAAGGCTACTGCTGAGACAGAGTAACAGATAATAATGAGTATGAAATCTAGCCTAACAGTTGTCAAACACTGATTATGAGGGCTGTGTCTAGAAATCTGCCTGAGGTCTGCACAGAGGAAAGCCACATGGTGTTTCTGGAAGGTGAATAGATTTCTATACTTCATTTCATGTGCAGAGATCCACAAGCAGCTGAAACCATTCTCTGTGGAATTCATCCATTTGTTTCAAATCAGTTTTGTAAAATTTAACAATTTAAGAGTAAACCTTGTCCTGCAACCTTTCCATTCACAGTTCCTAATATGCAGAACAACCTGTTCTGACACGATGAGTCAGTGTGAGTAAAAGTGGGCTGAGGCATGGGATGGTCAGGAAATGCATGCTTGTACATTTGTTTTCATTGGGAGCTACTTGGCATCTTGATGTAAGAAGAGATTTTGGGGCTGAATAGACTTTTATGTACAAAATTTACATTTGCATGCAAAAAGCTGATGTCACTGAAAAGGCCTGTGTGTTTCAAAGCATAACCAATCTGAAAGCTGAACTCCATACTCTGAGATAGGACCTAACTCCATACTGTGAATCTGTAATAGATAATATTTTTGATCTTTTTTTTTTTGGAATTGTTTCACAGCATTTTAAGAACACAGTCGTGCTGAAGTCCCTCATAAGCCCAAATTACACTTAAAGTCATAGAACCTATATATACAGATACCAACATGACCAGTTTAATGAGAAGTATGCAGAAGTACATTGGAGGAAAGTGCTATTCATTCCTAAACAGCAGTGGACAATGATAGAATTGATGCACATAACATACTAAATTCCAGAATTGTGATATGCTCAGTTGGTACATGGTACAGAATAATATAGTTTTGTTTGTTGTTGTTTTTTTTTTCCTGCCCATTAGACTTGTAACAACTGTAAACTATGTGAAGCTAGTCTAAGTTTATGAAAAAGCATTTCTAATCTTTTCTTATTCTGTACCTGAGAACTTTACTTACATTAAAAGATCTTCAGTCATATTTTTCCCTATGCCCTCCTTTATATAGCTTAGATGTAGGAAAGAATTTGTAACATGCTGAAATGTAGTGTCAAATTAAGTTATGTGAGGGGCTGCACAACTTTGATTGCCTGTATTAACTTCAGCACCTTTATATTCAGACTTCATTATCCAACTAGATTGTTGGAGTTACACGATGAACCTGCAAAAGAGGCTGTTAAATAAGCTGGAAGTTAGTTTAACTTACAACTCCTCCTTACACATCTATCTATCCCATAATACTGATAAGTTATACTGCCTCTATACATACTATGTGTAATGGGCATCTGTAACAGTAACAATTTTGTAACATAACAAAAGTAGCTCTTATGACATAACATCATGCTAGTGTCTGAGTATTTGATAACTAACTTCAACAGGACAGCAGTATAGACCCTTTGAATCTCACTGAATTTTGTTTGCCTTTTCTTTCCATGTACATGCTATTATTTAGAAGTATTGTGTTTTTTGTGATATGCTCCTTTTTAACTGTTTGTTATTTTTACGTGGTATTAAGTTGCATGACACTGTTTCTGCTTCTGGCTAGATAACAATTTAGATATGACACGATAGAGAAATGAACATTTCCTGAATAAAGTTTCTAACGACTTGTGTGATTTTGAGAAATTTTATTAGAAGCTGCCTAAATCTTCCTAAGAAACGTGAACTTGGGAATTACAACAAACTAAATTCCATACTCTATCAGTTTTTTCATTAATTTAATAGTTTTACTAATATAAGCATGGGAGTATTATGAGACAGAAAACTACTCACTGCTACCTATCAAAGACATGGTATTACAGCACTTCCCTGCCTTCTGTCCTAGCTGTTTGTATGGTCAGTTGACCTCTGTGTTCGCTCCAGATAGCACCAACATCACAGTATCTTCCCTCCTGTAGCAGGTGCCAAGCCAAAGGCTTTCTGGGATAAGGCCAAGACTGGCTCCTTGCTAAATGCAGACCAGCTGTTATTAACAGGTGCGTTAGGAGCATGAGCTGTCCGCTTGCTCAGAAACACAAAAGACCTTTGTAAGAATAAGGAAGACAAAGGCTTGAGTGGGAAATTGATCCCATACTTGGGAAAAAGTCTAGCATATTAAGGATATGGAGGTACTTAAACTTGTACCGTAAATTCTTGCTAGTAAATAATATTGCTCTGGCTTTATGGAGAGCAGAGCAGAACTTCCTGTAATTAACTACTGCAGTTACCAAATAGTTAACTTAGGGTCTGGAAATGGGAGACTTGTGGACAGTTGCCATTCTCGATGCAGCTGTTTTGTCTCGCTAAGCAAAAAACACCTTAATATTCTGTATCTTCCCATGCCCTGAGCTTCTGTAATTCCTACCAAGGTAGTCAGTATGCCCCCTGGGTAATAATACTAAGAATCAGTGGTATTCTGCTGCTGCTCTTTGCTGTTTTAACTTCTTTTCCTTCTTCTTTTCCTTGGTGGTTAAGATACGCCATTCTGACCAAAGCAACCTGGCCTTCCTGGAAAGGAGAGGAGAAGCAAGGAGTTCTCCATCTGCTTCAGTCTGTCAACATGGATCCCGACCAATACCAACTAGGGAAATCCAAAGTCTTCATCAAAGCTCCAGAGTCTGTAAGTGTGGTAGGACATGAGTCTATAAATATGAAGCTTTAGCCCACTCAGAAGTTTCACATGATAGGGTGGGAGAAATCAGAATATAAGTCAGGCAAGGCCAGCCTGTCACAGCTGCCTCAAGTCTGTGAGTGCAGTAGAGATTCTAGTTGCTTCAGTGATGGGTACAGTATAAGGACACTGCAGAAGTTTGACACGCAAGGAGCATTAAATACATGAAGAAGAGATGAGACACACAAGGATGCTTTGCATGCTTTGTCAGGTTACATATGATGTTCCATCAGTGAATCTGTCATTTGAAGGAACATGATGGTTTGAGAAGATATCTGTAGCCATTAGTCCAAGAAAACAGGTGCTTTTCTCAGTATAAGAACTACTGATGGAAATAAGAGAATAGCAACAAATATAGTAATGATATGTTATATATTATGGAGTAAATCAATGTCCCAGGATGACTGTAGCTTGAAATCCCATCCTGAAAGAACATTAGGTAGTCATATTAAGACTTTTTTTCCCCATGGCTTTTAAATTGCACAGTGTTGGAAAAAGTTCTTGTATCACTCATACATCATTCAGGAAACTTGTCAAGGAAGAAAAATACACAATCCACCATCCTGTGTTCCTTATTTATTAGGAACAGGTGACTTCTCGGTGCTTTGCCTTAAGTTACACATCAAAGTAAAAGCAGAATATTTCTGTTGCTGTAATTTTCAGAAAATTTTTGGTTTTGTTCTGTATGGTAGGCAGTAGATTCTGCTATGTCCATTCACATGGTAAAAGCTCAGAGGGAAAAATACTTGTCCAAGTCTTAATCAAAATTGTTTCTACCATGAATAGGGTAAGTCTCATCTGTTTATATAATAAAGCATCACAGTGCTCAAGGTGTATAGGGTATCTGAATACTTGGATGCATGTTGACAGAGCAGGAACTTCTAGCACAGGATTATTTTCACTTAAATATTGCAGTCAATGAGCCTTAACCAGCCAATTATAAAGAAGCATGAGCTTTGTTTGCCTTCCACTGTAGCACAGGTCATGATTTATTTATTAAGATTTTGGTGAGTTGGCGTGATAGTCTTGGTCATCAGTGAATGTCATTGATATCTTTTCTTGTGACAACAGTTGGGACTTTCAATCCTTTGCTGATGACCTCAAGTTTAAGATAGGGCAGTGGCAAATACCCATTCTGGTCAAGTAGCAGTTTAGAGTAATACAGATTACTTAGTTGCTTGCAATTACAAGGGACCAGAATTAGTAATTTAAGCAGCATCTTCTAGTTTGTCTTATGCTGTAGAAAATGGTTTTTTCCTCTTTTCACTGTGAAATTATTTTGCATCCATTGTAATAAGTTTTAAACCCAATGCAATCTCAGTTTGGGAGATGAAGAAACCAAAATAATTTGCATAAAGGCCACTTTCTTGATGTTATGCTATTTTCAGGAAAAAATAGTTTCAAGTTTTAATCTATTTTTCTGTTTTATATAATAAACTGTAAGGAAATAAGCTTCTCTGAATACTGAAAGACCCTAAGCTTTGGTATGCTTGCCCCTTACAAGAGGGCAGATTTCCAGCAGCCATATCTTCAAAGAAAGGAGTGAAAATGTTTGCTGGTACCTATCTTCTGTTTAATAGCTAAATGGTTCAAGTAGTCACTTAAGATCGATGCATCCAGTGTGGCCTACTCTGAAGTAGCTAAAACCTTAACCTTCTGTACCCCAACATCACATGCTACTATTCTGTTTCCCGGGAAAAAAAATGCTTCCAGTTTTACAGCATCTTCCCATTTGTTTCAGTGACATTTAATGACATATCTGTGAGGTTTATTAAAGACAATATGAGGGTGACTGAAAATAGTAAAACTTCTAGGGTTGCATTGCGATTTTAATTTAAATTAGTGCTTTTGATTACTATATAGTTTTCTTTTAAAAATGTATTTTTTGAAAAGCCATGAGGTTAATTTTAAAAATACTAAAATAGTTGGGGCCTTTTCCATTTAAAATACATATTTTAAGAAAAAGTTATGCAATATTTTTAGTTTATAATGTGTTTCAGTAAAATATTAGTTAACTTGATGTTTTCAGTGAACTTCCTTAATTGGGACTCTGACCTTCAGCTGCAGGTGATAGACTATTTTACACTGATATTTTGCAGTTAGCATTATTAGAGAAATAAATGACATGTTCACAAGAGATCAATGATTACTGTAAACTGAATTAGACATGGGCTTGATCATGCCCCTGCTGAAGCTTAGGAAGTTTTTGCATCAGGAGCATGCGTGTTTCATGCCTGTGCGCTGAAACCCTATCTAGCACTTGTGTGTTTGTGAAGAGATTTTTTTTTTTTAAATAAGTTTCTGTAGGTGGAGATTTGCCAACTGCAAAATAAGGTTTTATGGGTAGCAGAAATGAGGCTTCATTACTTACGTTTCCATCAAACACCTGAATAAATAACTCTGTACACAAACAAGTGAGGTCTTGCAGCAATGGTTTGCATTAGATCAAGTTTCCTTTCAGATCAATATGAACGCTTTTCCTAGATTTGCATCATTTAGCAGCAAATTTAACAAAGGATCCCATAGCCCAAGCTCACTTCTTGATACATCTTTTTGTTTGTTTTGTATTTTTGTTTGTTTTGTTTTTTAGAAACTTTCTCGCTTTTGAGAGCTAGGAGAGAAGCCCTTACGTGTATTTAAGTCACAGTATAGGAAAGTAATTAGCAAGAGCCAAGCTAGTGTACTGCTATAATATTATAATCATTAGCCAAATGTTGAGGTTCTGATGAGACAAGACAAACTGATGAGGAAGAGTGGAGCCAGTGGACACAGCAGGGTAAAGTTTAGATGAGGAAGAAAGATACATATGAATATGGTGCATTATTGTGTTACACATTGCACAGATGCCCATTGACATTCTAACATTGACAGGAGAAATGTGAATTTTAAAGAATATGGCAGGTTGGAGAGGCAGGCTGGATGGATGCCCAGTGGAGAACTTCAAGTTGCACCAGTAGTATTTCAGGAGAATTCATATTACTTTTTCTTCCTAATTGGGTTTCAGGGTTAATAGGTAAGCTGGTAAAACACAGAACCACTAAAGCTTCTCAGGTCTTCCTACCTTACCATTCTGATCCTTGGTCATAGTAGAAGCAGCAGCTTGGATCTGGAGTGAAATACATTGGAAAGTTGAAAGTAAAGTGTTTTTTCCAAATCTTCTCTTGTAAAATGTTTGACCTACCTATTGTCCTTTTGTGCAGCTCTTCTTATTAGAAGAGATGAGAGAGAGGAAGTACGATGGGTATGCCAGGGCCATCCAGAAGGCATGGAGGAAGTATGCAGCCAGGAAAAAATATGTACAGATGAGAGAAGAAGGTAGGTCCTAACTTCTGGTGACTTATTTCACATTTCCTTCGTCTCTTGCACCATATTTTTTGTTATTGGAATTATCTCCCTCTCTTTAAAGAAAATGATTGCTTTGCAGACTAGGAATGACTGGAAATTGTTGGACCCCTGAGGTACCACTGAGGTTAACTGTTCTGTATGTGTGGTTTTGTTGGACTACCCAGTGCTTTGGTCTGAAAACAAAGCCAGACTGAGTAGGAGAGAATTTCCGTAGTTTCAGAAGCACTCCTGATTTGTCAGAGCTGCCAAGCTTGCCATCAGTGTATTTCAATAGGAATGGATTTAATAACCATGTGGATCCTTATATAAGGATTAGTAGCAGTGCCTCACTATTCTTTTCCTATTAGAAGCAATTTGGTTATCACTTCTCCAAAAGTTCTGCTTTAAACCACTAATGCTCCTTCACACTGAATTTAGAAAATTTAGTAAATAGTATTAATGTCTATTTTTTGTATTTAAGCATCAGATCTATTGCTGAACAAGAAAGAGAGGAGACGGAACAGCATTAACAGGAATTTTGTGGGAGATTACATAGGCATGGAGGACCATCCAGAGCTACGCCAGTTTGTGGGCAAGCGAGAGAAGATTGATTTTGCAGACACCGTAACTAAATATGACAGGCGGTTTAAGGTAGGTTTAAGAACAAGATCCACTGATGATCAGTCCTGCTAGGGAGTCATACTGATGTCTCTACAATCCTTTAACAAACTCTGTGTCAAAAAAATCTAGGATAGTATCTTGAAAATAGTCTTTGACCCCTCTTAACTCTCAACATTGAGATTTTCAAGCCATTTGTTCCAGGGCAAAAGGGAATTGCTTTATGGGAATTGCTGGGCAGAAAGCTAAATTAAGAAAGGGAAGAAAAGCTACTTTAGTCCAGTGCAATCTGAGGCTGTGATTTATCACATCAGATTCCCCTGCACGCATTCAAATCAAAGACTGAAAGCCTTGCCCCACATCATTATGTATTGTATGCCCCCAATACATTATGTATTTTTGGAACAGCATCATGACATTAATGCATTGATCTCTGTATAACTCTATATTTTCAAACAATTCTGTTTCAGAGCGTGAAGCGAGACCTTATCCTCACTCCTAAGTGCATATACCTCATTGGGCGTGAAAAGATAAAGCAGGGTCCAGAAAAGGGTCAAGTTAAGGAAGTCTTAAAGCGAAAGATGGAAGTGGAGAGAATTCTTTCTGTTTCTCTAAGGTCAGTATCTTGAACACATCTTTCCACTGACAGAAATTTGTGTAAAACAATGAAACAAGTTGATTGATGAAGGGTGAATTCCATAAGCTCTATTAATTGAATGTTGTAAACAAAGCTGGAATTACTTTCACTCACAGCCCTAGTATGTTATAGCAGTTGTTTGTTAATAAACATTTTCTGACTAATTGTTAAAATGGTTCACTTGGTTTAAGTCTCACCCAAAATGTGTTCTGTGAAGCATATATGCACTGTAACGTGCTCAAGAAGGTTTAGTGAGTTTTGGCTTAAGCTTGTATCTGAGAGGTAGTTCTTGGATATATATTGAAATACACCTTGTGTGTATCCAGTGCTTCCTAAAGAGTGGTTCTCTGTGGTGAGCTCTTAAAACCTTCATTCCTAGTTGGATTTCACATCACTTCTGATGACTGAATATCAAACCAGTCCCAACTTGCAGGAAATATCTGTGGTGGTGCCCACAAAGAGCTGAGAAACCTGGTTAGGTGAGTAAATAAAAACAGGAAGAAACTTCCCATGAGACCCATAGATTTTTGCCTGTATCACTTCATCCCCTTGAAGATGAACAAAAGAAGTCTCTGAATACCTTTGCATTTGTTATTGCAGTTTATCAGAGCTGGCAGCTAAGTATTAAATTTAATATAAAAGAATACAGATCCAGCCTAATGGACCAGCAATAATTCTATAAATATTAAAATTTTGTAGTGTAAGAGAATACTCTGTAGTTGAGTACTATATATTGACATATATATTGACAGCTACGGCAAAGTGTTTTTTTTAATAATATGCTTATAGAACATTGTTCCTATTAAGATATTCAGAAATCTTCCCACAGACATAATCCAGTACTAAAACAGAGATTTTCACATTTCTGCATTTGTAGATTAAATAAAATCTTTCCAAGATTAGGGAAATGTCTGCTTTTACAATACCGTTTTCAAATCTTGTGGTTTACTTTAGCACAAATCTTTCTAACAAAAGCTGCAACAGCGATAGATCCAGGTTAAAAGAGTGGAACCTGCCTAGTTAGTGTTCCAAGTTTCAACTGTGTGCTGTACAAATATTAAACAGATTTCAGCCAGACACTTGAACTGGGCCTGTAGCATTCCACAGGCAGAGTTGCATTGAGTCAGCTAAAAGCACAGCTGCCTGCCAAGGTAGTGAAAGCTGTTACACTCTTCTCAAAAGTAAATAACAGTTCCACAGAAGGTTTTGAAGGAAAACAAAATGTGCATAGTTTGGAGGAAATGTGTATATTACATTGTGTCTAATACTGTTTTAAACTTAGCTTACTGAATTTATTTTGTTGGAAAAGCCATTCTTTGTATATTCTAAAAGTAGCGTCAGAATTACAAACTGTCAAGCCATCCAGGTATTCCCCCCAGAACAAAGCTGCCCAGAAAACACAGGATCAGGAGAGCTTTTCCTGTTTTCATGTTACTATGGGCTGAGTTCATAATGGATCTTACTTAAGGAATATTTTAACTCTGTATTGATACAGTTTATTAGTAATACAATGCCCTGGCTGCAGAGGCTACACGAATTACTGCTTCACTAGAATCTGAGATGATCTTTTATTAGTGATCAGAGTTGCAGCTTGTAGCATTTAACAGTCTTCAATTAATAAATCCAGAATGAAACTTTTATACAGTACAAGTATTGCCTCTTTGTATTTTTGAAAGAAACATAAGTTTTTCAGAGGTCATGCTCAAAACAAAAATTGTGTTAGCTCTCTAGCTTGCATTGTCTCATGTGTTTTCAAAACTCTAGTTTGTAGTTTATTTTTAAATAAAATTCTAATTCTCAACTAAAAAGGAAGGGAAACTCCCTGTACTTTAAATTTTGACACCTGTAGGGTAATTGACTTCTGACCAGTTTTGAAGTCTCAGTCCTCTGCCTTGGAAGAAAATAATTGAAATGACACTTTTTAGGAGCTATCCAGACTGGCTTTTAGCTCTGTTCTGTATTACAGACAAGAAGGACAGAATATTCAAGCAGTACTGGCACATACTCACATCAAGTAACACTATGTAACAATTACTAAAGGAATTATCCTTTAAAATACAATTACCCAATTTGTAATTTGTTCTGTGAATTGAGTATGACAACTACTCATAGAAGTCAGCTAGTGTTTTTAATAGCAGTAAATAACTGAGTTTTACAATTTATCTGATAAGCAGTGACACAGGATATCCTAACACTGTTGCAAAGGCAGGCTCTTTGCCAAGCAAGCTAAAATAGGACCACTGGCTGGGTAGTATTTCCTATAGTGCTGGGGTTTTTCTTACATGTCCCTTTCAGAACCCTGCTGATACTCTGTTTGCTTGATGGTAGGAAGGGAGGTCATGATTTTGCTTTATTTTCTTTTATTTCTTACTGCTATTTTAAATACTAAGTAGGTAATTAGGTAAGTTTGTGGCTTCATACACACTTCCATAAGCTATAAGAAAGATTTCAGAGTTTGAAAAGAGATTATGGAATATGTAAGTGGTGGGTAAACTTTTAGAAAAATGGGTAGTGGTATGACTTATTCTTCATCTCAGGTTAGAAACATTTTCATATCTAACAGTCAAGAGTATCTGTAGCAATAGTACAAAATTTTTTAATGCTGCATGAAGTAAATTGGTACTCACTGTCTCTAGAGGGAGTCATAGTCTTCAGTAACTAGATGAAAAATGATGATGAGAAAGCTACCTCTGCTTACCACCTTCGTATTTAAAGAGTCAGCAATCAGGGAAACCAGCTGTGAGAGGAAAAGGAAAGAGCATGCTTAAAGTGGAAAGCTGTTAATTGCTAGGTAATTAGGATCAGAAAAGAGTGATGAGGGAAAATAGATTTAATTTTCTCTCTGATGGAAGAGAAGGGACTTCTTTTCTGAGCTGAAAGTTATTTCAAGTTCCTTATTTGCAAGACTTAATTTACTCTTTGACTTACTGTGAAACTTTGAAGTAATGCATAATACGTAGATGGGATATCAGTGCCTTCTCTGTGTGATTTATTGCTATGCAAACCATTTAAAGACGTTTTTCCTTAGTGCTCGTTATGTAACTTTGGCTTGCCTTTCACTTGGCTGCCAAAGCCACCTGCCTGGTTTTCCACAATCTTAATCACTGATGATATTGACACTGCCAAGTTTTATGCCATTAGCAAGTAAGTTTTTAGTATATTGGTTTTAGAAGAAACTGTGAAAACTACTAATAAATGCTAATTCTAAATCCAAACCTTTCATATCCAGGATTTGAAAGGTTTATTTCTCCAGAAATACAAACAGATAGTGCCTTTTTCACTTATGAGACAACATCTAATGTATTGAAATAAATTGCTATGCTACAATTATATTTTCTAATATTACTAAAAGCAGATGATGATTAGATGGGAGCAAATAAATAACAAAGTCACAACTAATATGGTTAATTTTAAATTTGTGTGAGATTTTAGCATGTTGTGATGGGGAGGTCAGCTGCTTGCTTGCAGTAACTGACCTTGCTGTAGATAGCTTTTCAGTGTAACAATTGTAGGGTGTTTTGTTTTAAATGCAGCAGCTGTGGATGGAGTTGCTAGACATTGTATTGACAATATCTTTATCAGTTGTGACTATGATAGCTTGCTGACCATATTTATGACTTGCTTTCAGCTTTCTTGTCTTAAAAACATAAAATCCTGTAATCATCCTTGTTGGAGCAAGGAGAGGGTGTCATGGCTAGACAAAGTGAAATCTTATTTCACAGAGACATCATGTTATATTAGGTTTAAAAAACCAACCAACCAAAGATGCTTATTTCCTTGTTTTTGTTTTATTTGTAAAGCGTTATGTATATTGCTTTTTAGAGAGGTTGCAGAAACAGATAGCCACCAATATAGTTATAGCGAGGAAGTATGCCAACATGTTGTTAAAAGGAAAAACAATACATTTATAAACAAGTTAGCATGCTGAAACAACACTAATCTAGCTAGAACTCAGAGGAACTGTGGGGACTCGGCAGAAATCAACCAAGTAAATTGCTGATGTGGATATAATTTTCTATGGAGTATTTTTGCAGCATCTGTAAGCAGGAATCGATCCATTGATGGCAATAGATCCCAACATGTGTGTTCTTTGTACTGTATAATCATTAAGCTAAAAACGATGGAGAGTTAAGAGCTTTCATTCAGAATTTGCTTGCTTGGACTTTCAGTCTTACTTTATGACTGGTAACTTTCAAGTTTCCAATTCATCTCTAATCACAGATTTTGCCATTGTTAAGGAGATGGACTTTAATTTTAACTTCAATAGCACATGTTTTTATGAAACATTGATTACTGTAAAATGAGCAAACAGCTTGCCTGTGTTTCAAACAGGATTGTTTCAGCTATTTCATTATCTACTGCTCAAAATAAGTGTTCTCATAAAGCAAGACTCTATGGTACACACTCTTTGGACTTTGTGATTTTAAAAATTAACCATGTGTACAAATTTCATTATAATGCTGGCTCTATTTGCTATTGAAATTTTAATCTGAATGGTATATACTCTGATTTCTTTTCAGCACGATGCAGGATGACATGTTCATTCTACATGAACAGGAATATGATAGCTTGCTGGAATCAGTCTTCAAAACTGAGTTTTTAAGCCTTTTATCAAAACGATACGAAGAGAAAACACAAAGAAAACTACCTCTGAAATTTAGCAATACGTGAGTTATGTTTTTTCAGTGCACTTTTAAAGAATAAATAATCATTGCTCTTGCTGACAAGGCAGATGAGTGAAAGCTGCTTGCTGAGCTCCTGCCTAGTGCTTTGCTTTAGAATAATAAGAGACAATACACTATAAAAATGCAAGGAAACCAGACGTTTTTTAGCTCATTGGAGTAATAGATTGGGGTTGTATCTGGGCCATCTGCCACTTTCCACTGTCTATGGGCGTAGGTGAGTTGCTTGCATTCTACTGAACATTCAGCAGGATCAAGGGTCCGTGACTTTGGCCTGTCACAGCTCAACTTTGTGCTGTCAGTGCTGTGGCTGCACAGCAGGGGCCAGGCCAGTCACTGCACAATTAGTGTGCACCCATAGAGCAAGCTTTCCCATCTCTCTGCTGCTGCTGTTTCCTCTCATGAGAAGGGAACATCCTCTTCAAACTCCTTAACCTTGACCCAGCAGTGGAAACATTGTGATATTTGGAACACAATTCCAGAGACATAATATAATAATCTGAAATAAGGTCTCTTCTGCCAGGTGAAATGATAATTCCTGGAGGAGCTTGTAAATTATTTTGGGAACATTCCTTATAAACAAGCCTGAAAAGCTACTGAATGTTTGATGTGTGTTTTAGCTGTAAGGGTGTGCTGGAAACTATCCCAATGACTGTTTTTGTTAATGCTCCTACCCTTGAAGTAGATTAGCAGCAGCAGGCCTTGAATTTTTTGTATGTTCATTTCTTTAAAAGAAGTGCAAGAATTATAAAAGTTAACAGGAGACTCTTATTTTAGTTTGAAAGGGTATAGGAGGACAACTGAAGTTTGGAACACTCCTGTAGCATATGCTCCTATACTCAAAGCCAGGAATAAATATTTTTAATAATCCAGTACCAGGAATAAAAATTTTTGTTCATGCCAGTGGTAGTGTGTTATATTTCTTGGGTCTTGCCCCAAACCGTGATTTTCTTAGCTTATATCTGATTGCATTAGAGAGCAGAAGCAGACAGTATGGAAATACTTGGAAAGAGTGTGTGTGTACATATATATATAGTCATTTATATAGTTCATATATATATGAAAATAATTAGAAAGATTGAAAAGTGTGTGCAAAAATGTTCACTCCCCAAATATGCACAAGGCCCACTCATTAAGCACATATTGGGCACCTAATGGCATAAACAGAAGAACATTTAGGAATGGAGCACTCGCTAGCTTGCACTAGTAGAGTCTTCTAGTGAAATCTGTCTTATGGTAGACACATCTGTTGCTTAGACCCTTGTATGTTTTTCCTCAAAGCTCATTTACGTTCTTATGCTCTCCAGAGTGTCTTAAACTTCCTTCCTGTATTATGAAAGCCAAAAGATCAGTTAAGTAGAACATGTAAAAAAAAATAATTAGGTGCTTTATATCATTATTCACGCATTGAATAGAGATTCTCACTCTAAGCTTTTTATTTTTATATCTCTAAGTTATCTGCTGCCAAGTGATATTGTCCTGGTTTGACATTTAAATTCTTTGTTGTTTTTTTTTGTTTGTTTGTTTGTTTGTTTGTTTTGTTTTCTTCTTGTTTTCATGTGCTTATATTAGGCTTGAAGTAAAGCTGAAAAAAGAGAGCTGGGGGCCCTGGAGCAGTAGTGGTTCTCGACAAGTGCAATTTATGCAAGGCCAAGGAGATATAGCCATTCTCAAACCAAGCAATAAAGTGCTGCAGATCAGCATTGGACCAGGGCTACCAAAGAATTCCCGTATGTATGATTTTCCTTTAGAAATGAATGACTCCCGCTTTCCCTCCTTGCCTCTCTCGCATCAGCATTTTCATTGTTTCTCTGTTAGACTGAAAAGAAGATCCAAGTTATGGGTCCTACTGATGCAGCAAATTTCCCTACTGTTTTATAGTCTTTCTGAAATTTAATAAATTTTTCTAAGTTTTTATTTCCCTATATACCAAATGCTTCTGAAGTGTCTGAGGTTCTTCTCCTTGTGGCAAAATAAATGAGGGTGTTAACTTATGTGACATAGTACAAGCAGCAAGCACAATTAGCCAAGCATTTTGAAGCTGAGTGTTGCAGTCTACTCAGAGCTCCTGCAGTTCTTACAGTCATGCAGATGCAGAAAGGACATCTTTCTTGTACGTCACCCTTGTATGTCACCGAAGACTGAGCTCTAAATAGTACTGTCTGTAAAAAACAGTCTCTAAAGGTGTTTACCTTTTTGCCATATTAAATGCTTTCTGTGAAGCTTCTACCTCGTAGAGGATTCTATGGAGAGAATAGGGAAAGTTTTTTTTGGCACAGCTATCTTACAGGATAAAAGAAGGAAGAAAATAAATCTCTTTTCAAAGTAAAACACCTATCTTTTAACCAGACCTGGAGGCATACTGCTAAATTGTTTTCCTGTTGTTTTCCTATCAAACAGGACAGTGCAATAAAGTGGGGGAAGGGGGGGAGGGGGGGAGATTTCTTGGCATCTAAAACTTGATTTCTAAAACTAGTCCCTAAAGCTAATAGTCTTTAAGGCTCAATTCACTGCAGTAAATTGTCTTGAGACATCTGTACCTTGAATCCTACGGCTGAACTGGATCACAAAAGGGAGAATATGCCAAAGGCATCCTTGTTGCACCTAAAGCTTTAGCAGAACATGGGCAATACCGCACATTAGATTGATTACTCCTAAGATCAGCCTCTCTGAACACAGAGGGGTCTGGTGGCCATAACCTTACCTAATTAATATAATCAAAAAAGGGTAACAAAATGTTGCTGATTCTTTCAGGTCCTACTAGACGTAATGTTACGCAAACTAGAGGGTATTCTAACAGGTCTCAAACTCAGACTTACCCTATGAGAGCTGCGCCTCCTCCTCCCGGTAAGTTTTCTTAGCCTCCAGTTTAAAACAAAACTAAAAATTTAGGCTTTCACTTTTTTCTTTTCATCTGTGTTTTTGTTTGTGGTGTTTTTTTGTTTTGTTTTTGTTTTCCCATAAAAAAAAAAACAAATATTAAGAGGATATTAAAATTTTACTATCTTAAATTAAACATACATTGCAGGCATTTTTGAAGTGTGTCATTGGGAGATTAGTGGGAATCATCATCAAACTGGTATTCCACCAGAGACAGCTTGGTTGTTAGGGTTGCTGGCATGTTCAGTCACTGAGGAGAAGATACTGAATCTTAAAACTAACCCCATAGCCTCTCTATCGTCCTTTTTAGGGAAAAATATACACATTAATCAGGATATAGCCAACACTTTGTAATGAAACTGCTTTCAGGGCCATAAAAAACAGAATGCAATTTATGTCTCATTGTCCTACCCTGTTAGATAACTTTCATGTGTACTGAATGCTGAGCACTATGAGCTCTGCCAGCAAGTTGTATGGCTTTTTTTTTTCTGTATGGGATTGATGTAATTAGGGTGTTTCACATCTGCCCTTGAGCGATATGATTAATTTAGCCTGTGAACTCAGAGGAAAGAACAATATCCCATTGACCTACAACTTCCCAAGCAGTTCTTTTTTCTACATTCCCAGAGTGTTTTTTTCAATTATTTATTTAAACAAAAGGTTCTCTTGCAGTCAGCTGCTGTTTTTTTGAGAAGCACAATGATAAGACTGTAAGTTGAGTGTGCAATCAGTCTTGGTTACCAAATGCCAACTCCCGATCCTATTGAAAAAAACAACTCATAGCCATATGACTCAGACAAAGGCCTGCATGATCAACAAGAACTGCATATATTCTAGCAAAGTGGCAAATTATTGTAGTTAAAGAAGTTAACCAGTTTGTGGACACAGACAGTAAATTCTTGTACAGAATGAATTAAATAAAGCAAGGGAGGGCTGCTTTCATTTGTATTTTCAAAAATTCAGCACTTTCACAGCTACAGGAAAAAAAGAGACCAAAAAAAATAAATTAAAGGAGTCTTATGACTGTAGACCTAGCTCAAACTTGCCTTATAATAAGGCAAGTTTGGATGTCGATTTTCTTTGCATTCAAGTCAAAAGCATATACAAAACATAATTGCAATTCAGCCTTTTGTCATAATACAGCCCCAGCGCTCATGACAGCTGCTGAACAGACACATCACAGAGTCCTAACTAAAAGAATCTGATTCTGTGTTGAGCAAGACACTGGGCTGACTTTACCGTGGTACTGAAGTAGATAATCACAGAGCAGTAAAACTATGCTGCAGCGTTCAGGCAGGATAAATGTAACTACTGAACTTAAGTAGTTTCTGTGTTGACCCATAGGCATTGAAACAGCACGTTTAAAAGGTGAGCAGACCTCTTTCATTCATTCACTCATCCATTCAGTCACATCAGTTTTTAAGGTACATGTACACTTACAGGAAGCTAGACCAGTGTACACGCACACATGTATGTCTGTACGTGTGCACGTACACGTTCATGTGTCTGTATGCACAGGCATACTTATGTGTGCATGTATTTGTGCATTTGCACATATGCACATCTGTGTATCCATGTGTTTGTGTCTACTTTTCCTGTGTGCCTGAATACATATCCATAGTTTGGACTGGATGTGTTCATTCTTTATTTACTTCCAGGACATCAGCAAAATGGAGTAATAAATCCTTCACATCCCCAAGTCCCAGCAAATCAACAGGCCAATCAGAGAAATCTGTATACAAATATGACACGACCAACTTTACCACGGCAACTGTCAGGAGGATCGGGCAGGATTTCACAGCAACCAGAAAGCCTGGATTTTCTAAAAGTACCTGACCAAGGAGCAGCCGGGTAAGTTTCGACGTTAATTTCTGTAAATAGTTCTGTAAATACACAAACTGCTCATGGCTGATTAAGTTATCGTGGATGACCAGCTTAGGCCATTAAGTAGCTCTCAGAGAACTCGCCTTCCATAGGATTTTAAAACACATGCTCCTTAACAGGTTGTAGGCCTTTAGGAATGAAGGTAAACCAGTTCCAATTAAAAATCTTAAGCTTGCATGGGTGCCTTCTGCTTAAGGATATTAAAATACTCACAGTAGGCCTTCTTTCCCTTCTAGTTTAGGGATAATAAAAAGTAGATGTGCTGTTTCTTGGGAACTATCAACCACGTGCTAATCACAAAAATTGCAAGCGTATTCTGAGCATTTGTAGCCACTACTAATTTTGACAATTTCAAAACCCTCAGCAGATGCTAACACCTTTAAGCATGCTTCCATCTTCAATGCCTTAAAATAGTGAAGGTCATTAAATTGACGTACAACAAGCAAAGGTGTTTTGCTAATGTTAGATTCTTATTTTGTCTTGAGAGTAGTTCACATAACAGCAACAAAAACTAAGCCATATGCAGGGTAAAGCCACTATGATTTCTACCAGACAATTGCGAGTAAAATTTATTATTGTGAAACGTAGCACCTACCAAGTACCTAATGAGGTAATGTTAGCCATGCTATCGCATAGGATTGAAAACATCAGTTGCATCGTACTATATAGTTCCTTATGCTCTGGGTATACACCAACACACCCATCTCTTTCAGTCATCAGTTTATAAGGATCATTAGTATATATCAAAGTTTCTACTTTTTGTAATTGCCATTTAAAATACTTCACCAAGAATAAAAAAGTACCTCAGACATCTTCACTGTCTGCCCTAGCTTGCACTAATACCAGTGTATGCTTGAGACAGGTAGGAAAAAAAACACAACAGCAATTAAACCCACCAACAGCTACAGCAGTAATTGCAACTAGAACAAGTATGGATCTGCCATCCACCTCTCTGATTTTATGAACGTCAGTTTTCTATAAGAAGCCACCAATGAGAGACTGCTCAATTCTGAAGAAAACAAGGAAGGAAGAGGATGTTGGAGAGAGTGAGGATTGATTTTTATTGTTCTTATTCTAAAAACAAAACAAACAAACAAAACAAAACAAACAAACAAAAAAAAACACAAAAAAAAACACAGCTAAGTCACATTTAGGCTTTAACATTCCAATACACAGGTTGCTGGCTATGTAGTAAGCCCCACAACTTCACCAAATAGTTTGTTCCACATTTTGAAATACAGTAAAATGCAGCTTGGGGAAGAAGTATTTTGGTCAAAAATGTTAGGAGGTGCTGCACCCTGAGGAGAATACAGCCAAATAATACTTTCAGGTGGGCATTGCATTACAGCTTTGGAAAGTGTTGGGGTATTGTTGGAGTGAATATACAGTGGTAAAACCTACAGGAAGAAAGATTTATTCGGATACTTTGTATTCAATGTGTTAATGCTAATAATACCCAACTCTGAGCACAATTTGTAATTGCCATAATAGTAATAACACAGCCTTGTTCTCCCTACCAGTACTAATCATTACTGAGCCATATTTCAGTAGGCGTTTCCAGAGCCATTTTATAATCTAGTTTCCAAGCAGAAAAAGCATGGTGCAACACTGTCAAATGGTCCGTTATAAGAATACAGTAGTGTCCTGAGGGAAAACAGCAAGTATATTAAAAATAAGTCAAAAAGCTGTACTTTTGGGAACAACCCCAGCAGAGGCCCGTGCTGGTACTGGTCCTCCGGCCGGCTGTGCCCCGCTGTGCTTGAGGCGTGCGCACGCACCCTGCTGGCGGCCGGGGGAGGCTGGAGCCAGGCGCAGTCAGCAGGAGCAGGCCTGACTGGAGGTGAGAGCGTTTTTGCTGGGACTTGCTGTGACCACACAGCGCGCTGCACAGCAGAGTTGTGCTCTGCCTGGCTTTTTGTTCCTGCTGCAAGGGGCAGTATATTCAATTTTTTTAGAGAGCCTGGACAAATACAAGTGTGTCCTACCACTCCAGCAGAAAGGCTAAGGTACATGTCCGGTGTAGCTCATCTTCCAGCAGAAGACATATTAAAGAAATAGTTTACCTGGCAGCTCTCTTCCTAGTCATCCATTTTCCTAATCCTGGATATAGTCCTGGGGACTGGCAGCAACCTCAAAGCCTTGCCATTGCATGGGAACTACACTGATCAGTGCACACGGGGCGCTGCACTGAAACCTGTGCAGTGAAGTATGACGAGGCACCAACACAGTTCAGGCTTTAATTTCCCTGATACCAATACCTCAAGATCCAGTACAGACGGCAATGCAAGTTCTGTTCCTTTTCATCACCTCACTTCTTACTGCCTGCACTCCTGGCCAGCACAATTAGGGACACAACTGGTCCAAACTATCTCACCAAGCTAGCGTATCATTTCTCACCTATACCCACTCCCCCAGTCAGTCCAAAAACAGCCTAAAAACAAGAAAAAAAAGAGACAGACTCACAAAGGAATTAAGGCAGCAGATATGCCAGAGTTCAGAAAGGGCACCTGAGGGGTTCCTCCTGGTCTTCCTTTCAGCTGAACCTGTTCAGTGGCACAGCCAGACATTTCGATGGGACTATCTATAAGTTTCTCTGATACATTCAGCTACTATGGAAAACAAATATCCCAAAAAGCAAAAGAACAAAGGAAATACACAAGTGACATTTGCAAGGCTTTTCCTCCTAAGTGTTGAGGTCCTTAATTTACTAAAATGAAGCGGTATTGCCATAATTCAGCAGTGGCTTCCAGATTTTTTTTTCAGTTTTTCCTCTAGTGTAGCTGTACACAAGACATTATGAGGCATTATGAATTTACTATTTTAAGCTGTTATTGATGTCATTTTAAGGGTAGTATTTTTACCAAGTTAAGTTTTATCTTTAACAAGGTTTCTGTATTAACACATCTTTAATTTCTAGTGATTACTAACAATCTAATACAAGTCCGAATTAAAAAAAAAAAAAGGCAAACAAAAACCCACCGTGCTCTCACCATCAAGACATTTCATTTAAGATGTTCTTGTTCTGCTGTAGGCCCAGAAAAGCTGTTACTTTTGTGAGACTTATGCTTAACATATTTCCACATCTATCTAGTTGGTCTAGGCTACACACTGTATTATATCCCAAGCAAAATCAGCAGCCTAACAACAGGAGAACAATCCTCCCTCCACTTGAAAAATTTAGTCCCAAAATGCTAAGCCACGCTTTAAGACAACCCCAGCTCATTCTGTGATGTAGCTCACTGACAAAAATGAAGTGTAGGACTTATTATAAGTAACTACAAACATCTTCTGCAAGAGCTATGTTGCATTGTCCTGGTATCACATATCATTATCACAGTTCAGCTCCCCCATCCCCACTCCTCCACCACAGCTTTTAAAATAGGAAGTGCAATGAACAACTAAAATGACATATTGCATCTAATACCTGTTCTTTCTTCCAGCCTTTATTAGCTGATGAGCTGACAAAACACATTTCTTCCCTTTCCTTTTCCTAATCTTTGGAGTGGTCATAGCTGTGACAGACTTTGTGCAGCATCTCCCCTGCTGCAGAGTTGACTATAACAGAACAAGTCCATAGACGGTCCTGGAATCTGAGACAACTTAGGACAGTCTCTCTTACAGCTTAGTCACAAGAATGGTAAAGTAGCAAACCCGTGAGCTAGAACTTTGTTTTTATTACTGGAAATTAAATTCCTGCTGAAATGGGAGCACAGAAGGAGCTAGACTAAGCCACGTAGTTGCCAAGATATGCACGAACTGCATGTGCCCATTTATTTACGTTCTGGTCTAAGCACTATCTTCACCTATGTATTTAAACTACTGTTTGGAAGTACTCGTTCATCCATTTTCAGTAGGAAGTAAACAGCAACTCTTAACCCTTTCATGGGGAAGAGCCTTATATGCCTATATTTAATTGGTGTGAAATTTAAGAGCTATTTTCCCCTTTTCTATGATATTCTTTACAATCTGTTCATCGGGATGGGTTGATAAAGCTTAGGTTCAAGTCATAATAAACTTTGAAACACATTAACATTTCCCTTCCATCCTCTCTTAAGTGTTCGCAGGCAGACCACAAACCGGCCCCCACCAGCTGGAGGAAGGCCTAAACCACAGCCAAAACCTAAGCCTCAGGTACCACAGTGCAGGGCACTGTATGCATACGATGCTCAGGACACAGATGAACTTAGCTTTAATGCCAACGACGTGATCGATATAATCAAAGAAGGTACGTAGAAACATAGAAAAAAGCTTTTGTTACTCATAGTTAAGAACGATTTTTGGAGGTACCCTCAAGTTATCTTCCCTGATACAGCTTGCAAATTTCTGTGATAGTTCAGAGAGCAGAGACATCCACAACAGTCACACCTATGCACTTTAAAATATCAGCGTTGACAGTTGAAAGCTATTCACTTTATTTGCTACTGTAGATCTGTCAATTTAGAGTGTAACTATCCAGGTTCTGACTGAAAGTTAGCCTAATCCACCCACAAGAACCAAGTAAATCCAGCTCCAACTCTTTGATTTCATCCAAAGCAACCTAACCTGAAGTTGCTGTGATTAGCAAATTCAGTTCTCCAAATCATTTATCATTATCCTTCGTGAGAAGGCTGTCAGAACAGCTTTGTGGGCTTGCCTCAGAAACTATACAATAAGGTATACAAAACCTCTATCCTTACTTTACTTTCTTTGTCACAGATCCTTCTGGTTGGTGGACAGGAAGACTACGAGGGAAACAAGGTCTATTTCCTAACAATTATGTCACCAAGATATAAAAGACTGTTAGGCAAGAAAATGCTATGAAGCTAACGATGTTTGAAGATGTTTTCCCTTACCTTCAGGACACTGTTCTCCTGAGATCTGCTATTCTCAGCATTTTTCACCAGTAAAGTTGTATACAAGGAACAAGAAACTTATCCACAGCAGAGACTTTGATATTTGTCTCAGAAACATACAGCAATGGACATACTGACTAATTATTTATTATATTTAAAACCTGGTTAACACCTAGTAAGTGAAAATACTCAAACCTGTCATTGTTCTGAAACAGAAAGGTGCTTTGCAGTCTGGGACCAGGGACTTTAAGGTGTATTTAATAAGTGCCTTTAGTTGAATATCAGTAATCTTTTTAATTATCTGATGAAGATTATGTTAAATGCACATTTCCTCTAATGCAGATCATTCTGGGGAACATGTTAAATATGCTGCTACGTGTTTAAAAGTTAGGGTCATTTGGGATATTACCATCTAAAAATCTACTGCGATGGTATATTTAAATAATTCTGTACAGAGATGTAATAGAATTGGTTTGCATTTACTGATGTATTTAGGGACTCCCAACAGGCACTACAAGAAGTTTAAACAAAACTATGTAGTACTGTATGCTAAACAATGTTGCCTTCAAGATTTATATTGGAATATGGCTGGCCCATGTTGGAATTCTGTTTAATGCTCTACCTGTTATAAGAAATGTCTTTATGCACAGCTGTACATTTATAGAAACAAATCCTATACTGTATATAAAAATTGAATATGGTAGAAACATGTATGAATGTATAACATAGTATTCCACTGTTCTTACCATAAAGTAGTTCTACTAGAATTTTTATGCCAGGTACTTACAGATATGCACTACTCCTTTTAAATGGTAAAAGCAAGTGTTACTGCTTAAGTCTAATTGCCTCCCACACCATTGAGAGTGACTGTTGCTTGCCATACAGTTATCAGCATTCATTGCTTTGCCTTGTGAACCTCCATAAAATAAAACAAGCAGCAGTTAGCTCAACAGGTCTCTGTGCAGTTTGTTTTCAGATATATATATATATATACCAACGTTTCTTAACCACGTGTTCAAAAAAAAAAAATCCTCTACTGTGCTCTAACTCAGCTTGTTTTCACTCTACCCAGATGAAGAGCTATGCACTACACTTTTTCCTCTGAGCTTTTTCTGTTTTAGTGTTGAACCCTGTCCCTCCTAAGCTTCATTTAGGAACACAAACTCCATCTCCATTAAGAGATTTGACTCCTTCAAAAATACCTATTTGCATTAAGTGCTAGACTTCACTTATTCTATGGGAGAGAAATCTCTTGCCATAAAGATAAAAGTCTGCAGCTTCAACCTCCAACAGGCATGGATGGCATTGAGGCCTCGGCACAGTTCTGTAGTACTGGGGACTTGCCTTCTACATCAGAGCCCACACACTCATGGAGTTCAGCCTAATTTACAGACTAGCAGTTTGCAGGTCAACATTAAACACATAGTACTAAGTTAATAAGCATAAATGAAGTGAGGCAGAAGAGCTGTAGTACTTACGTGCTTATATTCCTCTGAGCATACAAGTAAATACCTGTGCTTATTAGAAGAAAAGAATAACAAAGGAAATCAGATATTGTAAGTGTATTGTATTCTCTCAGGTATTGAGGTTTACTGAAAAAAATAAAAAGGAGAAAAAGAACAGGCATTGAGAAGCTAGTTTTTTTTGTTTGTTTGTTTTTGTTTAAGAAGTAGAGTAGGTTTTAAGAGGCAAACTGATACAAAGGTCTGATCCCTGTAGTTCTACATCTACAGCCAGTGCACACAGTAGTCTGGCATCACAGAGGAGTTTCCTGCCTCAGCTCTGTTTAGGCGTACAAAGACAGACAACACATTGCCTTATCTTCACTCCGTTGCCTGAACACAAAGCCTTACAAGGCTGCATCTGTTAAAGCTGGGAAAAGTAGGAGGCTATAAGTCAACAAACTACAACAAAACAAGTTCTTGAAGACTTCTTTGGGACATGGCACTGAAATAAACACCGTATTCACTATCCCATAATGTATACCAAGGAAAAGTCCTGCTCTTTAAAAGTGTGAACAAATTACTAAATGCAAAGCCAAAAGATACTGATCAACTGCAGAAAATACACGTATCTAACTGCACATTGTATCAGTCACCTACTTTGTCCAATGTCCTAATTCAGCATCAAATTGCAGGTATTTCTAGATATTGCCCTTAAAAGATTCACAGTTGCAGAGAGGCGTTATTGTTCGTTTTTTTTATGGTTTTGTTTTTTTTTAAAAGAGAAGAGCTTTATTTCTGAGCATACAGTTGTATTACAAAGCAAGTTTAAAATTTCACCTTCAGAGGGCCTGAAACGTCTGTGGTAAGGCTGGAATGCTATTTACAAAGACCAGTAGCTTTATCTCAATAGACAACTAAGGACAAAGTGCATATCATCAGATACATCTGTCTAGGGTTATCATAAGAGTGATGATGCTAGGTCCTTGATTGTCTTGCTGTTCAGTTGAGGGATTGAGCTGATCCTCAGGAGTTTGCTACTCGCATACTTGTTCTTTATAGCCTGCAGAGGCAGAGGAATAATGTTACAGAAGATCTACACACACAACCCTTACTTTGTTCAATTATTCTGTTTTGAAAATAAAAGTAAGGTTAGAAGTGAACCAGCATACAGAATAGCAAGAGCACAGTTTTCCTTTAAATGTTTGGTAATTGTTAGTACTGATGGAATATTTTTTCACAGGCTTGTCTAAATAGCTTACGCTTTAAGGTAACATACACAGAACATTTATCTAAGGAGTCACAATATGCAGCAAAGGTATTACTAAAATATTAGGAAGTTTAAGTATTTCTACTTACAGTGTATTTTGTTAAGTTCCCATTTACTTTAACCACGTTCTTGGCCATATGCTTCATAATCATCACAAGACTGTCTTCTGCATACCCAGTGTAGTACTGCTGCTTTGTACCCTACGGTGTAACAGTAAGAAATTTAAGATTTACAAAGTGGGGATTCTGCTTATGGCACAATCACTTCAGGTAGCCAGCACCCCAGGCTTCAACTACTAACTTTGAGTGCTAGCAGTTGTAGTACTGTCAGTTTAGAAGACAAATTCAGAATCATATCTAGTGTGCAGTGAAATCTGGACACAAATACCAAGAATCATGTTTTCGTAATGCATGAAAGACAAAAGAAACAACCCTTGCAAGAGTAACCAGTAGCTGATTTACAATTTACTATTCACAGTCCATAGCTTCATTATCCTACCTGAGCTACTTAGAGTGTAGTTTTCTGTAACTCAACACTTTCATAGGAAACCATTGTATAGTGGTGTTCATACAGAAAAAGTCAGTTTTGGTTTTAATGGTATGTTCCATATTCTACCTTCAGCTTTGCATCAGCCTGTCCTAATGTCATTTGATCCCCCACATTATTACTGATGTAAACACAATTTCCTTCAGTAGTGGTTTTAACAGTTTAATTCCATTGACTGGAGGAAAAAAACTCACAATGTGTTTGATTAAAATACTTACCCATTTGTTCTGTCCCAGAATCTTTTGAGACAAGCATAGTGCAGCTGCTGCAATCTCTGAAGGATGATGGTGTACCATGTCATAGTCTACCAATGTCAATTCCATCAGGTATTTTGCTAGTGTATGTTGCTCAGCATCAGCCTATCAGATTGAGAGTTCGTTAAGACACAAAGTTTCACTTCGCCTCATCAAGATACTTCAGGGTTGTTTATTCTTTCAATTAATTAATAAGTTGACTAATCTTGTTTTGCCAAGATCTTTATTAAGGCCTAAGGACCATATTAATTAGCAGTTACTTCAGAATTCCAAACCAGTGCAGTCTAGCAGCCATTTGGCATTTAGACATAGACAAGTGAGAGATTTTAACAGAAAAACGGCAGCATCAGGCACTGCTGTACCCAGCTAAGGGCTACAAGCGCTCCCTCTGTAAATATACTACTAGGTGGGGAAAAATATACATTAAGTAGATCTTCATTAAGGCATCAGCTAACTTCAAGAACTACTTAGTGGTCTGTTAAAGTAAATGAAGCCCACTTCAAGTGCAGGCAGATTACTTAAGTGTAAGAGCCTCCTAATAGTGAAGGCTCAGCTCAAACAGAAAACTTTCCTTTTGATTCTTAAGATAATACAGCATTTGCATCCAAGAATCACAAAGAACTGATATTGCTTGCCTTTTATGAGGAACACCCTGATTACCAGACAAGAGGCTACTCTGAAAGCTGGGGCTCTGCTCTAGGTGTGTTCAGTTTACTGTAAACTCACTGCAATTAAGACTGAACACAGGCCCCAGTAAATACAAACATGAAACCACTGCTGGCTGCCACAGTGTGAGGTCTTATTCCTCTGCCTGCAGTTTCATAACTGAGCATTCCTTGACACACCAAAGCAAGCAAGATAACAACAACCAAAGTGTTACCATCTTTACACCATCTTGACTGTCAGGGGTGTTCATATCAGCATGTATCAATACCTGAAGGGAGGGTGCAATGAGGATGGGGACAGGGTCAGCAGTGCCAAATGCCAGAGGAGAGGCAATGGGCACAAACTGGAACACAACAGGTTCCGTCTGAACAGCAAGAAGCACTTCTTTACAGTGCACGTGACGGAACTGGAACACATTGCCCAGAGGTTATGGACTCTCCCTTCCTGAGGATCTTCAGAAGCTGCCTGGATGTAGTCCTGGGTAAGCAGCTCTAAATGTCCCTGCTTGAGCATGGGGGTTGGACCAAGTGACTTCCAAAGCTCCCTTCCAATCTTAATCATTCTATGATATATACACAGGAAGGTTCTAGGCAATAAGGCAAGGTTCTAGGTTCAGTAAGGACAAGTACCCACCTCTCCAGCTTTTGATGCTCTTCTTAAGAAATGAAGTGGAAGAGGCCGCCCCAAATCGAAGTTCAACTCTTTAAGTATTGTCATCTCCATTTCTCTAACTTCAGCACCAGTGTAAGCATTGTCAGTAATGTAAACAAAGTCTGCTACATCAGGAGAGAACATCTCTTCATATTTTGAAGCTAGAAGCAGCGCTGTTACACCTACCAACTGAAGTCTCTTACGAGATACTGAATGAGTCTGCAATATAAGAATTTGAAAAGTAAGACCCAAAATATCGAACTCTAGACACACAGATTCAAATTCATCGGCTTAAATGCCAGTATGTGTTTATTCTTAAAGACATAAAAGAAATTTTCTACTTTTGAGTCAGAAGTAATGACAAGCTCAGAGAATCACAACTTGGGAGTTAAGACATTGTGTTACAGAACTCTAATATGAAGAGCAGCAGACTTCTTAGGATTAATCAAACTCCTTTAAAAGGATAGTTACTGTCTTGTACTTTTTCTGCAACGTTGCTAATTCAGCTGGAGACAATGGGATGGTTCATACTGTGGGTATGAACATCGTTATCACTATCATTTGCAATTCCAGTTTTGATTAATGGTCATGTAAGTACTGGTTCTGGGGTAAGATTTTAAGATCCCACCAATTGTTAGTATCATTACCATACCAATGTCCATCCCACGTCTCAGGATTTGCACAGTGTATCAATTTGCAGATTTGTTTAGCAGAGACCAGGCATAGCATGATTTAGTAAGAGATCAAATGCTTCCTGTAGTTGTTTTTCCTCGCCTTTCAGCTGAGACTAATAGCATTTTAAGTTCCCTAATTTCTGTCCCTAGTTTCACTTCTATTCCTGCTTTGGATGGTGCGCACTTAGATTTTTGCAGCAGTTTACCCATGGCAATCCTGCTGACTACTCCAATTTTAGTGTCGCATTAAAGTGAACAGAGTCAACGTTTGCTTGTTTCACAGCCCTGCCAAGGGCTTTCACTGAGAGAGTTCCACAAAGTTGAATGTATTTAATAAGGTGACAGATATAACAGATTTAGAAATGCCATTGAATAAATACACTTACTGCAATAGCACTAACATATAATAGTGCTAGCAAATATCTATCCCTCACCAAAAGGTGAAGG